ATACGAAACCTATCCGAGATGTAGCTGTCCGAGATTTAGTTTAGCACTGAGCCGCTGCGCACTGATAGTCGTTTACAGCGCAGCGGATAAAGAATACTGTATCGTAGTTCTACTTTCAGTCGGCAGAGTGAGTGGTTGCCGGAGGCAGTGTTGCCAGAACTTCCGACTAATCCGTAGATTTACGGATTTTGGGTACAGTACGTTAATAATACGGATCTTCTATCATTAAACAATTTAATATAATATTATATAATTAAACAAAGAACGGCGTCAGAGTTGGCTTGAAAATGAAGATCGCTGTTATTGCATATGTGAAATATTACGGTAAATGTCAATAACCGTCATTTCCAAGCCAACTAAACGACTTTTTTCGATCATACGACATATTCAGTACCTATAAAAGAATTTTTATTTTTGTTGTTTATTCTATGTTTAACGCGAATAAATGTTCAATACATAAACGCGGATTTTTATCAAACGTATTACATATATTACACATAGCATTTAATATGGCAACACTGTCGCCTTCAGTTCCACACCGTCTTCGATGTCTTCAGTGGCCGAATTAGAGAAAATAAGTGTTTTATGCGTTGGCCGCAGAACGATTGGTGTCCCCACCGTACAGCACTTGGACACAAGTATTTTTTTCAACTTTTTGCTGTTTACATAGAGAATTAAAATTCATAACGATTCTCAAAATGATGGCTATATTTATGATTATCCTGGACACAAGTGCTGTACGGTGGAGACACCAATCGTTCAATAGTGTGGAAATCTTGTCATGAATTCGCCCATTAGGCTGCGTATCTTCCAAATAAAAAACAAATAATGTTGCCAAATTTATTTTTAAAGCAATAAAACTTTAAGGCATAGTAAATAAAAACTTTTTTCAGTGGCGTACAACAAGTACTTAAAGACAAATTGACACAGCCTATCAAAGAACAACGTGTAGAACTCACTTTATATCTACAACAAAACTGTCGAATAAAGCATTATTTTTCCGCGATAATAATTTATAATAAATTTATTCTGGTTATATTATCATTATAAATAGAAACACGATAAATATTACATAAGATTTCATTAATATAAATTATAAATTTATTGACATGTATTTATTATTATTTATGTTGCATAATATAACGCAATATATCTTGAAACACATTTTTAAACAAAAAAATCGGAAATATTTTTTTTTATTTCATACTACATAACAGGAATACGATAACAAATGTGGATAATAAATCATATATTTATAACCTTCCATATCGAACAAAAAAAGAGATAAAAAATCAAACAACATTCTTAGATAATCCTAAATATAGCCATCATTTTCAGAATCGTTATGAATTTTAATTCTCAATGTAAACAGCAAAAAATAAAGTGGAAAAAATACCAATTTATTGATCTCATTTCAACGTCAAAAATACGGGTAGGTCTTTTATTTTTTTCTGGAAACTAAATTTGATCTAGTTAGCAAAGGGATTATAGGATTATACATCATTATTATAGAATATAAGATAACACTAAGACAAATAACATAGATATACTAGGAAACAGGATCTGGTGATTTTTTTTATTATTTTGCTTTACTTAATTTTTATGATTTTTTATCCTCAATAATTTCGAGAGAAGCTGTCAATTTTTTTATTGGATGTAATACATAACGGCAATATTAATACTTAATAGATTTGCCTAATTAAGATAATAATAATCTGTACATAACCAGATTAGAAACTGGTTAGATGAAATAGAAAGTTAAAATAGTAGAACAATGGAAACAGTATTTAGACAAAAGCTACAACATTTTTATACAAGATGTTTCTAAATTAATTGAAAATACCTTAAAGAGTGCTAACCAAGGTCGCAACTCAGGAATGGCAAAGGAAAATTCCACTCGTTCAACTCCTAGTGTATGATATAACAAGAATTTACAACTTTGAGAAACACCTCACCTTGTATTGAGCAACAAAAAGAATTGGTTAGGTTAGGGTAGGTGGCTTACTTAGCAATTAAAGGACAACTTAAAGCGAAATTAGTACCTTTAAACAACTATTAGTAGTAGAATAAATAATAAATAACATAAAATCAGCTCCGTAAAGACTGACAAATCCACAAAATTTCAAATCAAATTCAAATGCGTCAAATGAATCGTCAAACAGAACTGTCAAAGATTCCCACCCTAGAGTCCTCTTTCCGTCGACCATGCAAGCATACATGGATAGCAATATCACAGATTATACAGATTATAAACTTTGTTTTTTATTTATTGTTTTTGGTGGTTCCAATGACATCGAAATAAATTAGACCCGGCGACTTATATTTTGGCGAAATCCATCATTGCCTTAGAAAATTGCATGTATGCCAAATTTCCACTTCGATCGCATTTAAAAGGAAATTTTATCTACGTATACGTACGGGGATAGCTAACCCACATTCTAAACCAGGAATTCCAAATATAGATTACGTCGTAGAATACTTTAAACCGATAATAATTAAAGGTAGCCCAGTATCACGAACCCAATCAGCATTAGCCGTTATTTAAATCTTCTGTAATTATAATTTTTAGATTTTAAGAAATTTAACATAAAACAATCGACAACGTCGCAACGCCAGCTGATACTGAAAACATACGCATTTTACTATCTTTACTCCTAAATTCAGGCAGCCAACAAAACATCCAGTTCGAATTCGTTCATAAATTGCTTTCCGGCGTTGCCAATGTGTTGTGGTTTTTCAATTTGTTGCTTGTTGCCCTACACCCACGGGCAGACGTTGAACAATAAAGCACTGGAAATAAGCACTTTAGCCCTTTAGTTTTAAAATATCTAGTAAACAAAACAATTTCAAAGTTTTAAATTCAAAGTTAGGTTAAGTTTAAATAGCGGACGCGACGCGAACAGAATTCTTTCCGATCCGATAACTATAAATGAAGAGAGTTAATACCACCTCATGTAAAGGAAATAACATCTGGCCTTATTAACGTCCATGCGCGCTATTCGGTTTAGCGATATCTCTCTATTACGCTGTTTATTGTTATTTTACGCGAGTTTATTTTTGCGCATAGGAAATTTTACTCGCTTGCACATCGTCATAAAAAACAATTTTCGTACCACGAATTAGGGATAAGATTTTTATCTGTATACATATAGTATACCTAATCTGTGGCAATATACTCCTTCCTTAATTTTTTTATTCAAAGAGTGCACTGGTAGTATACTAAATAAAAGAGTGTCTTACTCATAGACAAACAGAAAAATTAAAAGACTGTCAGAAGACATACGACACGCAGGCAAATGTTCCTGTAGCGCATCGACGCAAGTGCCGAAATACATCCATCTAGCTATCTGTGTTTCCACACTAGTCCGTTAGTCTTAGCATATTCAGAAAGAACACGCTAACCTCCAGCGTTGCCAATTTGTGGGGAATTCCCCAAATTTTGGGGAATCCGGAGCCGATTGGGAATTTTGTGGGGATTAGCAATAGGCGGCGAAAATAAGGGGAGTCTCAACATTTTATTGCTGATTGAAAATGGCGTAAAATTTTTAGCTTTAAAAACGGAGCGGGACGATATATCTTTCCCAACTTAAAAATTATAATCTGCTTTTTACTTGTGCTTCCCTTTGCAAATGCTTCAGTTGAAAGAAAATTTAGTGACCTCAAATTATTTAATGACTATTAGGGAAGGGATTAAAAAACAAGGAGGTAATTTACAGTTTAATCCCTCAAATATATATAGTAAATATTGTATTTTTATTAAAATTATTTTTTTTTTTGTTAAAATAATCATATGGGGAATTTTTGATGAATCGGGACATTTTTCTCCCCAAATTGGCGAATTTAATTTAGATTTTTGGGTAGTTTAGAAAATTGACATTGGCAACGCCGCTAACCTCATTCTTTTGTTTGTTGTTTGTTCAAAAACCGGCACACGGCGTAGTACAAGGCTTGATCATTTTTTAAGAAATTTTTGATTGTTAATTTTATTTTTGTGCAAACTAAACAGTTGTTTTTTATTAAAAAATAGCAGACAAAGGTAAGAAAGGTAATGTCCATGCAGAAGTTTTTATTTCACAGGCTATTCTTTCTAGAAATTATACCATCCAGCCCTCCTATTTAATTATTAAATAAAAGTGTGAAGGAGATATCAAGGGCTATTCTGTTAAAATATCATCCGGCCAGTCTAGGCCCTGTTGTGAACCAGAAGGTCTGCTAAGTTGGATGTTGGATATAGAATGGAAGGAATATCATGGCCGAGAACAAGGCATAATTGTATGTCCCTTGATGTAGGGGGGTAGGTTTGTTTCTAATAGGTAGTAAAACCAAAAATTCTACTGTGAATCTTCATATTCTAGGCCTGTAAAGATAAATAATTCCTGGAGCCATCTCGAGGTATAGTAAGTACTCAAGTCGGAGCGAATCAATTGGTAGCACGTTGAAATAAAATAATAGCCATCATAAAACTGTAAATATGGATATAACTAGTACAATGTAGCTATTTAACTGTAAGTACAATGTAGCTAGATATTTAGTAGAGTAGGGGTATTATAAATTAACACAAAATACAATAATTGGTCATTGTTTCCATTCCCATTCAATTCTTCCCATTTAATCGTTTTCCTATAAAAAAAGGAAAATTAAAATTAAGAGTGCCCTTAACCAAAAATAGTGAAATAAATGGAGATAGTCAAATTTTATATTAGCGTGTAAGACTTTGAATAAAAAGGTGTAAAAGGATTATAAATGCTGAATTTATATCCTTTAATATCATGATAATATAAAATTTGGTGTAGGTATCTCCATTTATTTCACTGTTTTTGGTTAAGGGCACTCTTAGTTTTAATTGCCTTAAAAATAATAAGTATAATAATAATTTAAATCTCCCGCTCTTTCATAGTTCGTTCCTGTAGCCAACTAGAGGGCGCCAAAAGCGCAATCTCCCAATATTTTACCACGCGATTTACCACTCTGTAAACTATTAACTTTCTCTATGGTCTTACCTTACAAAAGCCGCCGACACCTATAACCTCTTCCAGCTTGAGTTCGTTGAAATCGATTTTGACCAGATTGACTTGAGTGAAAATGGAATCGACAGTGTTGATGTCGTCGTAAGGGGCTACGAAGTTCGATGGGAAGATCCCAACCTAAACAAAAGACATAAAAATAATCAGATAATAGAAGTAAATAGCTAACAATAGCATATTACGCAATGAAATAGACTAAAAATGTAGATGTAATTCGAAATCGTGATTTTGTGCAGTATGTCACGATGTTTCTCAAGAATAGTTGATTCTCTTCGTGTGTATTTTTTCAAGAATTTTTTTATAACATTTCCAATAAGTCTATTATTGGTTAAATACATTGGTGACATCTATGCAACTTTACTGATAGTGGTTATACATAAATTCATTTAAATACCGTAGACCAGAAAAAAAATTACGCCGTTTTTTTCCGGCTAGTTTGTTATAACATATGATCGGAAAAAAAACGGCGTCAAAGACGGCTCGGTGATAATTTCGGCGAAGTCAAACCCTAGACGTCATTTTCTTGGCCTATACTATTCTTTATTTTTTTTGACGGTGCTTACTGCCAGTTGGCCTTAAGAAGGTTTTTAATTAATTTATTTTCGCATTGAGTAAAAATGATTTTTAAATGAGGTAGTTTAAAATTCGAAAAAAAAATATTTTTTTGGAAATAATTTGTGTGTCGGGAAACGTTCTATCCTTTTATAATCGTTCTATAATTAGTGATGCTTTTTGACAAGTTTTATGTCAATTTTTAGAAAATGACGTCTACAGATTGACCTCGCCAAAATGATCATCGATTGTAATTCCCCAGCCGTCTTTGATGCTGTTTTTTTTTCTATCATCTATCTTTTATCAGCCTTTACATAAATCATCTTTTATTTTGGACTGATAATAATAATCCCTTATGAAACTAATGTGTCTTTTGTCCTAAATGTGTCTAATGTCTTTTGTTTTAAAGATACATACAGGTGTTAAAACTCTTTAAAAAAGATTTTTTTTTCGTAATTATGTTAAAATCGCTATTTTTTACAGTACGTCTGTCCGTTCTGTAGCTACGGGGTATCCGTGAGAGGGGAAACGATATTCTCTCGATGTTTTCCGCAAAAAATTAGACAACGCGTCCCTTCAATAAAAATTCAACAAATTTGCAAGTAGCCAATAAAATTAGTGGGCGGAGCGATTTGCGGTGACGTACTCGTCAAGTCGACGTTGCTGTTTATTTAAATGTTTTTTGTCAGCATTCCTTTTATAGACACAGATCCAGCAGACGTACTGTAGATTTTGCTATACCTAGGTAGTACTGAACACCAATGTTATAATAAGTATTTTAATAATTTCCTCCCACTATTAAATTTGTTGATGGCAAAACTTGAGATGAATAAAATGAGAAAACACTGTACAAGGTGAGTCAAACTGGACGCTTTTAAAGGGATACGCCCTTTTCTATATTAGATAAAAAACAAAATGGTGAAAAGCGCATATCCATACCTGTTACAGTTTCGGAGTGTTTTTCAATGTGCATTTTTAACAAATCGCTGTAACTTTTGTGCTATGGAAAATTTTGTATTTTCATGAAAACATTTCCAAAGCACCTTTTTACGTAGAATTTAATATTAGTATTTTAATAAAGCACGCTTTTAGATATTTCAAAAAAGTTTTAATAAGAGTAACTTTAACTCTACATATATGTTTCGGCTTGTTAGGCCTTTTTCAAGAGTTTTTTAAGAACTAATCGTCTAACTACACTAACTATATATATATATTTGTTATGGGGGTGGGTTCAGAGAGTTTACAATAGGGGTAATAAAAAATGTGTTTAGAAATCCTTGTTGGTCGTTAACATTATTTTCGTTTTTAACAGATTTTAGTATTACACTAAAATCTGTTAAGTAATAGTAATACTAAAATCTGTTAAAAACGAAAATAATGTTAACGACCAACAAGGATTTCTAAACACATTTTTTATTACCCCTATTGTAAACTCTCTGAACCCACCCCCATAGCAAATATATATATAGTTACAGTGTAGTTAGACGATTAGTTCTTAAAAAACTCTTGAAAAAGGCCTAACAAGCCGAAACATATATGTAGAGTTAAAGTTGTTACTCTTATTAAAAAGTTTTTCGTGAGTGTTTTTCAATGTGCATTTTTAACAAATCGCTGTAACTTTTGTGCTATGGAAAATTTTGTATTTTCATGAAAACATTTCCAAAGCACCTTTTTACGTAGAATTTAATAGTTTAAGTATATAGTTTTTAAAATTAATAATTTAAGAGTTATCAACAGAAAAATTGATTTTTTATTTGGTACACCCTGTATATTCTTATTTAGCTGAAAAGAACTTTAAATTACCTTTCGAAAATAGTTAGACCACATGTAGCTAGTAAGCTCTGGACCCCTTTTTGATGATCTGTCCCTAATGAAACTCGAAAACATATTTTTTTCAGCAAGACGAGGCATCGCCATCAGCAAATTTTTGCAGCCAATTTCGAGAATAATTGAATAGCTAATCAAAATCCCAGCCGTTGGCCGTCGAGGCCGCCGGACTTAGCGCCTTTGGATTTTTATCTTTGCGAAAGAATGAAGGTTCTTATTTTTAAATTGCCCGTATAATCTAGACAAGAATTAGAAGTACTTAGCGATTATGCGAGGGTACCTTTAACCCCCACTGAGATAATGAATTCCGCGAGAAGTGTTCAAAAACGGTCCAGTCTGTCCATAATAGAAGACGGTTGACATGTCGAACACCTGTAGCAAAAACTCATGTCTTGGTTTGCTATTTATTTTTATTGTTATTAGATATAGTTTAAATGTGTTGATGTTGTTAAATATAGTTTAAATTGTTATAAAATTCTGCATCTCTCATTGCAAATATCATTTTCGTTTTAATTGCTGCTCACAGTTAGAATTCTTGTTCATTAAAGCCGGTGCCGCGCCGTTCAAAGCCTATGTACTTATTCCAAGTGGGCGAATTTTTAAAAACTCTATATCTCGAAGAGGAATCGAGCAAAATATCGAGTATTCTATATTTTTGGAAAGGTAATTTTAAATTATTTTCAATGAATTAAAAATATACAGGGTGTCTCATATAAAAAATCGAAAATTTGTTTGTTGATAATTTTTAAATTAATAATTTTAAAAAAATATATACTTACTTAAACAATTATATTCTACGTAAAAAGGTGCTTTGGAAATGTTTTCATAAAAATACAAAATTTTCCATAGCAAAAAAGTTACAGCGATTTGTTAAAAATGCACATTTTTGAAAAACACCCCATAACTCCGAAACGGTAACAGATATCGATGCGCGGTTTTTACCATCACGTTTTTGAAAAAATTGAGCTCCAGACACGGATATTAGTTTTCGTTTGTCTCCTATAGAAAAGGGTGTTTCCCTTTAAAATCCTCCAATATCACCCCCCGTGTACAAATGTAAAACGGTCTTAACATCTAACTTCAATCATTTAAATAACAACTCACCTTTTCTCCGACCTTCCCCGTCCACCAGCCCTCGTCCCCCGATATCCGCGCGTCCTTACTCAGCACCTCCACGATCTGCCCCTTCTTCAAACTCAGCTCGTCCTCGCCCTTGGGCGCGTAGTCGTACAGCGCAGTGCACAGGCGGCTGAGCTGCGCAGAGTCGGGCGGCGAGTCGCAGCACGACGACGACGCGGTGGAGGGAGGCAGGGAATTGGCGCTGGGCGGCGGGGCGACGACGTGAGGGGGTGGGGTGCGCGAGTGGCGCTGGCGACGCCCCGCCATCGCCGCCATGACGGCCGTCGCGCGCTCCATGCGCCTCAGCTGCTGGCGGACGGGCAGGGGGGCGCCCGCCAACGGAGGCATCCGGTGTGGCCGAGACAGCGGCTAGGTCTGCAAAAGAAAAAGGAGAAAATATGAGAAAAAATTGGTCAAGTGCGAGTCGGACTCGCACACGAAGGGTTCTGTACCATTCATTATCTACAGGGTTGTTCACCACATACGACACGGAGTATTGTGGCTAAACGATGATATTTTTACAAATTGTAAGTTTGGGGTTCGTTGAAGGACTATTAGAGCTACAATTTAAAAATATTTTTACAAGATACAGAGTGTACCAAATAAATAAAAAATATCAAAGTTGTATTTTTTTAAATGGAACACCCTGTATATTATTACATTTTTAGTTTCTACGATTAAAATAAAGGTAAATTTGATTAAGGTTTATTATACTTAAACCTTACCGTTTTTGAAATATTTTCAATTTTGTGAAATTGCAGTAAAAATTTTAAAGCTTCATTTCTCCAGGGTATCAATGTTTTTAATACTAAATATTTAATGAAGTTTATTTATTGATCAGTTATTGTGTTGCAATAATAAAAATAATACTACCTTATACAGAGTGTCTAAAAATTTATTTTAAATAATTATTAGCTTCAAACGGCAATAACTTCTTTAATTTAAATGGAATGCCCTGTATATTTTAGGAGAATCAGATGCATAATTAAATTGTCTATCAAATTGTATTATACCATTTTTTACCTATCCCTTCAAGTTTTCGTAGAAAATGCATTTTCTTTTAATTTAGACCTCATTTATCAATATATCCATGGAATATTGACATTTTAGATTGTTTTTAAAGCAACAAATGTACAAAATGCCTCAATATAACGGTGGGCATTGAGAGCTCCATTTTCAACAAATTCAAGATTGTAAAAATATCAGTACTTTATTTAAAAATGTGTAGCTCATAAAAGAATAGAGATAATAGGATAATTCCATTATCATTGTAAAAAACGAGGTTTTGATTTACCCCGATATAAACCCACCTAACCGAAATATATAAGCCATTAAAATACTAAAAAAGAATGCCAACAAATTTATCTACAAACTAATACCATAGGTTTGTTCCAACCCGCCACAGAACCGTCATCGAACGATCACGCTCGTGCGCAGTAATTCAAATATGTTCCAACCGAGATTTATTGGACGATCCTATTTGCGTACCAACCTACCTTAGGATCGTTTAGTGACGATTTCAGAACGGTAATTTCGGTACATGGTCCAAATTGAGAACTGTTTGGGATGACTTGCGCATTAAAGCATATTGGCAGGGATTATCGATTTTTAACAGCTGATTCTAGTCCGGCGTTCGGCTGATGCTTCTCTCTTGGTTATTTTTTACGAATTCGAATAAGGTAAAGGCACCAGTAATTGACACAATTAGACTCTCTTATGGAAATGTAATGTATTCTTGGAATACCAATAATTGACACATATTATCCAATTACTGACACCCCAATAATTGACAGGTTTTAATTATTGACACACCAATTTTAGACAGATATACTTTAATTTCAATACAGATTTAACAGGATAATACTTAATTTATTAAAGCTAAGAGGTTTCAAAGATGTCCACCTTTTTTTGGAAACGTGTATTTGATTCTATCACCGATGTTTTGAAGTTCTGGTTGATCCAGTTTTTCGATGACGTCTTCAAATTTTATCGTAGATATATCATTTTCCATTATTTTAAAGGATGATTTGTCACTTGTTGATTTTAGAGAAACAACTTCAATATCATCCTTGCTATAAATCTTTCGCACTATACAGATATACCTATAAAAGAATGTTTTTCTTTTACCTCCTAAAAACTTGGCCAATACATAATCTCCTATTTGGATGTCATTAAAGGATAACTTCCTTTCGTCTGATTTCGCATTATTCTCCTTTTCACATTCAAAATCACCCTTTTCTCCTTCTGACTCAACATCATCCATGCTGTCACCACTCTCCTCCCATTCCTCATTGTCATCAGATGAACTTTCAGAGTATGAATTCTTTTTCTTTTTAACTGGTCTCTTTGCCGTCATCTTTATATCTTTTTTACGCTTTCTTTCTTCCGCTCTTTTTTCTTTTTCTTCTCGTTTTTGCTTTTTCTCCATTTCTTTCTTGTTATGATACTCCTGCCAAGTCTTTGAGGTGACAGCCGCTGGAATTTTTTCTTTCTTTCGCTTCTTATTTTCTGATTTGGTTTCTTCTGGCCAAAAGAGGGCCTTTTTGAAGGGCGTCGGGACATTTTGTTTCAGAACTGATAAACTTAAAGGGGACCCAAATGGATATTTGATGTATGAAGCTGATGATGATGTCAAACTCTCAACAGAATGTAGAATAATTTTTGGTGGTGTCACAGGATTATGTGCAGAACAGCCAGGTTGTGGTTCCGCGACATTAGGATACTCTTGTAAATTAAGGCCAGAGTATTCAGGTTCTAGTTCCGCAATATCATCAGGATTCTCTAGCAAATTAGGTTGTTGTCCATTTTCCTGGTTTTCCACCTTGTTCTCATCTTCTGATGACTCTTGTCCAGGCTCTTTTCTGTCTCTCATTACTTTCCATATGGCAAAAAGAGATGCATCTTTTACAGCTCCAGTCCAGTCCTCTTCGCTGGCTCTAAAAGCAGCTAATGTTTCTTTCAGGATGTACTTTTCTAGGCTTCCAATCCAATGCTTGTGTTATGAAGTGTTGGTAATGAATTCAAATTCTCCTTGGAATAATTGAAAATTTTTGAAAACTTTACATTTTCTACATTAAAAGGTGACAATCCACACGCTTTAAATCCATTTTGTATGGATTGGAAGGTAACTAAATTTAGGGCCTTTTCAAATATCGACCCAAAATTTTCTTTCCTTAGCTTGTCACCATGATGGTCGATGTGTCACTCTCTCACACATTTTTTCCAAAACGCCTTAAGTGGCTTGAATACGGAAACGTCCGTTGGTTGAATTAAATGTGTTGAGTTTGGGTTCAAATTCAAAAGTTCAATACCATTTTCTGAACAGAAACGGGACAGCTGAAATGTCATGTGTGACACATGACCGTCAACAAACATTAATATGGGCCTTTTAATTTTATTGTCAATCAGCCAAGGAAGAAATATATTGGTAATATACTCAAAGAACGTTTGACCGCACATCCAGCCACTCTCAGAACGTCCTATTCCCCAGCTCTTATCGATACTATGTGCAATGTGACTTGGAATACGTTCGTATTTAAAAACGACCATAGGGGGGGCAAGCACTCCGGCGGCGTTTGCGGTCACTAAGACCGTTAGGTTCTCTTTGTCATCGTTGGTTCCAGCATTATAGATGTTTTTGTCTCCCTTCTTTGCCAATACCTTATCACCTTTGGGCTGAAGGAAAAACGCGCTCTCGTCACAATTAAAAACACGCGTTGCATCATTAGTGATATCGAATAACTCCTTAGATTCCAGGTAATCTTTGATTTCTTCGAACCATTGCCTAATTTGCCCCTCCTTAACGTTTTCCCGTGCGGGAGTTAAGTTTTGTGCAACTCTGTTGCTTAATTTAGGGTGCCTTTTTAAAAACGAATTGAACCATTTTCTACCTGGAACGGCATTCTACTGGTAACTTTCCTGACGACTTATAATACAAGGTCACTCTTGGTACAGAGTACGTCTTAGCTGCTGTAGCCACAGGCACACCTCTTGCTACAGCTGCAAGAGCTTCAGCCATCTGCTCTTTAGAATAGTTTTTCTTGGGCGCCATAACGTCTGCAACATATCAATTACCAATAACTGACATCTGATGTACCAATAATTGACACTTGTGTCAATAACTGGAAGCATGTATTTTTTGAATCTCTTATTCAGGGATGTGGCTGTTGCCTAAAATTCTAAATTTTTACTATGAGCGTTATAAGTTCATTATATTTCCAGTAATTGACATAAAGTGTCAATAATTGGGATACATATAAATATCATGATCCAGTTATTGACACCCACGCTAACATCAAATAATGCGTTCTTACTAATAAAAACACATTAAAAAACGTTTTAATCATGCATAAATAGTACTGTCAAACACACAGAAAAAGTTAAACATAAATTATATATGGCAAAAAAAATTATGTTTGTTTTACCTTACCTTAACAAATGAAACAAAATTTTCATAAACTACCGGCATCACAAACTTTCGCCACGTTGTAATAACCTAAAATATCAGCTGACGTCTGTCATAGCTGGTACAATGTTGCCAAACATCATATAAATATAGTTTTCTTACTAAAGATGCCTTGCGAACGACCGATTAATCTTATTTTGGTAATATATATCTTAAAGTGTCAATTATTGGTGCACTGTCAATCACTGGTGCCTTACGTGTCCGTTATATTTTTGCTTGTGAGTTTGTGTGGAGTAAATCGTTCGGAAATTTTAATTAATTTTTTATTTATAAAATAACGTTCAATGATTCTACCACTGCAATGAAATAACAGGAAACTACGCATAACAGCATCATAAAAGAGAGGATAGGTAAGCGAGTTAGTGAGTATACAGTTGAAACAACATATTACTGGATTCTGATTCTTCATTTCAAGAATAATAATTAATTGCAAATTGCAAACAAAAATAATAGGGTTATGTTATGAAATTCTAAACAAAAACAAAAAACCGATTAATACACGCACGCTTGACACTTTTGACAGTTTCGAAAACAATCCACAAAGCCTTCCGAGGTTGATACTTTTTGCACGCTAACAAAGTGCAAGAAAACTGATTCGAGTACGATTTCGAAACGATCCCGAAATGCTGGTTGGAACAAACCTCATAATTATAAAAATCGGATTACAAATTAAAAAGTTATGAAACATCAAACTTGGTAAAAATTTTAGGGTGGCGGAATTTTGTGCCGGGGAGTTTATAATTAAATATTGTAAACTATAATCACAATATCAGAAATAAGAATATTTCTCCATTATCAGATAAACATCCGTAAAAAAATGATTACCTATATATCTCTTTTCATTCAAAAACAACATACGTAATAGGAAATTCTTTAGATGGAAAACAAATTCCTTGACTAACAGACACAACAAAACCCTATTGTTTCGCGGTTATTATTAATAAATCAATCAATCATTTAATTACCAGTTAATTAAATATATAATCGATTTAATTTTATCCCTAATCGATTGCATAACACGCCGGAATGCAAGCAAGAATTTAATCAGACATTCCATAGACTCTAGAGGAAAAAATTTCATTTTTTTCTTAATATTCATAAATTTAAATTAAAATGAACAAATTCCTAATTGTTATATGCAATTATTATGCAAGTAAGAATATGAAAAATTAATCAAACTTCAAGATTATTATGTGTGTACTAAAGTAATTTCAAAATATTTATATTTTTATCATGATATTAAAACCAAAGGACGTTATAACATTGAAAACAACCTTCAAAATATCAGTGCAATGTAAAATAATGTGCTAAAAATGTATTTTTAACAAAAACATGGAGCTGAAAACGAGAAATTAATGCAATTAATCCAATTAATTGCACTGGCTAACTAAATATGTCATTTTGTAATAATAGGCACATAATAGGTACGTACCAATTGCTATAAAAACTGTATTTATTGTTATAATTATACAAGACCACACTATGTAAGTACCTTAGTATTCAGTAGGTTCTACGAGGGTTGTCTTTTATATTTTGCATATAGAGGTACCATATGATCGAAAAAAAACGGCGTCCAGTTGGCTTGAAAATGAAGATCTCTCGCTGTCGTTTTATATGTCAAATTAAATATAAATGTCATGGATTTTCCAGTTACAGGCCGACTTGACATACATACGGTATATTTCTTTGTTGTCTGGAATTGTCATAAAATTTCAGAAATCCCAAATCGGTACAATTGAGTGAAATTAGAAATATTACCTACTATTTTTAAATTAAATTTGCTACATATTTAAATCTCTTTCAATTTTGTAAAATAGCAACTCGTTTTTGTTTTTTTTTTAAAGAAAGTATTTGATAACATTGTCTTCTTTAGCACTACTCGTTCTAAAAGAGGTGAAATGACTTGGTATATAGATACAGGGTGAGTTAAAACCACGTTGATTTCTTCCACTACCCAGCCGTCTTTGACACCGTTTTTTTTCGATAGTACGGTATATTTGCAAAGAGCACTAAGTATTATAAAATATTTCCAATAATTAAAATATTATAGGTACCTATGCTTTAAAAGAGATAGGTAGTAAAAATTTCATAACAAATATACCTAGCCTGTTCTAGATCATTTCTCACAAATAAAATGTTTAAGACAAGGAAAAAACCATTTAACCCTAAAAATTTCTTTAAACAAAAAGCCAATTATCACACTTACTATGTGTTTATCTTAATTAGTACACATTACATATTATCTCAATTTCTTTATGCGAAACTCTCTCAATTTTCATCTATCTTTTGATTGCTGGATTTACAGAATTCTTAAAACAGATTAAAATAAGAGGATTGTTAATAAATAATTATCTCAAGATGTTTGGTGTGGAAAACATTAGAAAAAATTGCTTACTCGTAATTTCTAAAATTACGGATGTTAATGTTTATTATTTACTACATAATTTAGGCTCTAAAGAATCTAAAAACAATATCATCGTTCAGATGATCAAGTAGGTGTGTTTGGTGATCAAAAAAACAATATCAAAGTGTAATGAAAAGGCCTCCTACCCTAATATTTGTTTTGATAACCAAATTCTTATCAAACAAGAGACAAATAAATCAAGAATAAATGATGTAACTCTTGGACTTTTATTTACCAATTTAATGCTAGAGACCTTGAATAATTGGTTGCAAAATGCTGGGTGTCCATAATTCGTAAAAGAATGGGGCCCGATCGCAGTAAGCCAGGTGGTCACGAAAACAACACTATCGGATATACGAATTTTCAGCACTTTTTCACATATTTTCACTGACAGAACGCGTACGGGAACGAGGGTAGACTTTGAACGGTCGCCGCACGAAAATCTAACGATAAGAAGCGTTCGCTTTAATTATATTTTAAGAACTTTTTCTCGGTCGTTTTTTAAAAATATTTTTACTGTCAAGCTGTCACAGGTGTCGCGGCCATGTTTTTTCTTCGAACAGTCGATTTTGCATTCTTGTTTATTTCTCTCTAATCTGCATTCAAATGTATCTGTTTTACCGACAGGGTTACGGGGCGCTGTTGGTGAAAAAACACAACAGATGGCGCAACATACCAAAACTTGGTTTGTCGAAATCATAAAATTCAAAAGTTTAAACAAAATCTTTTATTTTAGCATTTTTGTCCCCTAAATTGCTAACGAGGCCGAAAAAATCACTCCTCTCTCATGGCCCAAATTTATTCATTTACTTTTGACTGTTTTTGACAACACAGAACTTATTTTTTTGCGAAATGAATGATTGGTTGCATATTCATTGGGATTTTAAGGAGCTATACCAGAGATGTAGAGGTAGGGAAAATGAACACAAACTGTTATCTTTGAATTTCTGGTATTCCATTTTCCTTACGATAGATGGCGAAAGCGTCGCCTAACTTCATTTTTTTTAACGCCAATTTTAAAAAGGTTTTTCAGAGCAAAAAAAGACGGGCTTCCTTATGTGACGTGATTTATTTATTATTACTATAACTCGAATTACTACTATCGTTTATACGTTCCTGTTGCTTGATATAGTAAGTAACCCAATTGTTAAAATGGTTCCTTCTCTCTTCTATAGTTACTGTGGGGTCGCAAAAATCGAAATGCCTCCATTTTCTGCTCGAAAGCAAATCATACTTATTAGTTAGAATATTTCTTTTCAGTCTCACTGATTTAATGGGCCTGGTATTACATAAATGCAGCTCCCCGTTGCTCACGCTGTGCTTGCAACGTATTTCGCCTTCGGACAGTGAATTGGTCGTGATGGTATCACTGAAAAATGAATAGGAATTATTTACTCAGGTGAGTTCGCATTGTTCAACAGAATTATGTTGTTATTTAAGCACTATTTTAGTATATTTTAATCATTTACCTGTTGGATGTGTCTGGTGAGAATCGTCTCAACCGATTTCTTGCTATGGCCAACAATCTTAACCTTTGAATTTCTTTATCTCTTATACTGTGAGTGTCGTGCTTGGTGTAAGTTTGCTGAGATGGGGTGGGCAACAATGAAATAGTTGGAGCAAATAAGTTTTCCTCGTCCTTATATCTACCTATAAAATGAAATTATGTTACCGTCATCAAAAATAAAGAATCACTTTAAAAAATGTTTATAGGTTTGATGCATTATTACAGTTGATTTTTAAAAATTCAACACCAGTGCTCGGTGCGGCAGAAATCAGAACTTTCCGGCTCTGTAATTTCACGCAGTCCCGCGGTTACCGTTCATGTTCATTACAACACTAAATGCGACTGTATATAGTTATTGTTATTATACCTACCATTTTTCGCCAATTGTAGAGGACTAAATTGTAGACTCAGTGGTGGAGAGCTAGGTCCTTCAACAAAGCAATAATTGACATTCTTGTCATTTTTTGAAGATTTCACATCAAGATTTTGGGACTGTCCTGAAACGTGGATATAGTATTTAATATTTAATGCTTCTGTTATATAGTATAGGGTGCAATTATTTAAAAGTATAAGTTGCAATTAGTATAGGGTATACAATAATAATATAATAATAGTATAGTATACAATAGTATAGGGTGCAATTATTTAAAAATTACAAGAAGGGTGAAAACTACCCCCACCCCTACATAAATTTTAGTATAAATATTTTCCAACTCCATTTACGACAGATTTTCTTTTTATAAAATGGTCCCTCTAATACACAGGGTTGTTCACCACATACGACACGGAGTATTGTAGCTAAACGATTAGATTTTTACAAATTGTAAGTTTTGGGTTCGTTGAAGGACTATTAGAGCTACAATTTTAAAATATTTTTACAAGATACAGAGCGTCCCAAATAAATAAAAAATATCAAAGTTGTATTTTTTTAAGTAGAACACTCTGTATATTATTACATTTTTAGTTTCTACGACTCAAATAAAGGTAAATTTGATAAAGGTTTATTACACTTAAACCATACCGTTTTTGAAATATTTACAATTTTGTGAAATTGCAGTCAAAATTTTAAGGCTTCACTTCTCCAAGGGTATCAAAGTTTTTAATACTAAATATTTACTGAAGTTTATTTATTGATCAGTTATTGTGTTGCAATAATAAAAATTATACTACCTTATACAGAGTGTCTAAAATTTTATTTTAAATAATTACTAGCTTTAAACGGCAATAACTTGTTTAATTTAAATGGAATACCCTGTATTAGGAGAATAGATGCATATTTCAGCCCATCACCATACCACTACCTATCCCTTCAAGCAAAATGCATTTTCTTATAATTTAGACCTCATTTATCAATATATCCATGGAATATTGACATTTTAGATTGTTTTTAAAATAACAAATGTACAAAATGTACAGGCTAGTAATATTATCGTTTTTAGCAAAACGATAATATTACTAGCCAATTTGTATGCAAAAAGAAAACTATTTAAATCTTTATAAAAGAGTATACCATTACTTAAACATACCACCAGTATTTCCGCCCATATACTAATTAATTACATACTTAATTGTGTTCGTTAATAAATTATTATAAATAAATGTGGATTTGAGTCAGAAATCAATATAATAATAAGTTATGAAAATGAACGTCTCTGTTGTTATAAATAAGCCTTTGTCAAAAAATTAAATATCATTTTTAAGGTGTTACTTTTTACCACACTGTCTAATACACAAAAATATTCAGTTTTTTAGTTTTTGGAGCAATTATTATTAATCAACGCAAACAGTCAATTAATGTAGTTTGAATACGGGAATCATATTAATTGGTCCTCTTTAACAAATATTTAAACAGTTTTTTTTATTTTTTAATGAAATAAACAAAAATTTTCTTTATTTTCTAAATTTCTTTAAAAATTTGGTACATCTTTAAAAATAATCTAAAATGTCAGTATTCCAGGGTATATTATTGATGAATTATAAATTATAAGAAAATGCATTTTTTTACGAAAACTTGAAGGGATAGGTAAAAAGTGGTATAATACAATTTGATAGACAATTAAATTATGCATCTGATTCTCCTAAAATATACAGGGCGTTCCATTTAAATTAAACAAGTTATTGCCGTTTAAAGCTAGTAATTATTTAAAATAAAATTTTATATACTCTGTATAAGGTAGTATAATTTTTATTATTGCAACACAATAACTGATCAATAAATAAACTTCAGTAAATATTTAGTATTAAAAACTTTGATACCCTTGGAGAAATGAAGCCTTAAAATTTTTACTGCAATTTCACAAAATTGAAAACATTTAAAAAACGGTAAGGTTTAAGTGTGATAAACCTTAATAAAATTTACCTTTATTTCAATCGTAGAATCTAAAAATAGAATAATATACAGGGTGTTCCATTAAAAAAAATACAACTATACATTTTTTACTTATTTGGGACACTCTGTATCTTGTAAAATTATTTCTAAATTGTAGCTCTAATAGTCCTTCAACGAACCCAAAACTTAAAATTTGTAAAAATCTAATCGTTTAGCTACAATACTCCGTGGCGTATGTGGTGAACAACCCTGTATACTACATTTCTTGTCTCTTGTAAAAAAACGCCACATAGCATAGTTTTTGAGAAAAAAAAATTGTTGAATTTATTTTTCCAAAGCAGATCTACAGGGAGTTCCAATATTCCGTGGACATATATAATGGGACTGTCCTGGTACTGTCCTATATAGTCCCATTATATATGTCAGTCCCATATATAATAGGACTGACATATATAATGGGACTGTCCTATAATGGGACTGTCCCCATAATAAATTAATTGCCCGAAAATCAATTGTATAAAGAAATATTCTTTATACAAAAGTGCTCCCTTAGAGGGCATCAATCAAAAATAAACCCAAATATTAATTAATTTAAATTTTATAATTTTTTTAAAACTTTTATGAAGCTTATTGTCATATATAATTTGTGATACCCACGTAAAATTTCATATGTATTTGTGACAACTAGGTTATTAAAAGAATATAGATTTTATGCGCCTTAGCTTGGGGTGTCAAAGTTCGGGTGTGACAAAATCATTTTTTGGAGGCTAGCTTCGGAAAAATATTTTTCTCCTCAAGAAGTATGCGCGGTGGCGTTTTTTACAAGAGACAAAAAATGTAGTAAATACTAGAAGGACCATTTTACGGAAAATAATAGTAGTTCTACCGATTTGGTCATTTCAGAAGTGTGGTTTGGATTTTAACGTGTAAAGCTGCGTCAACACGAAAAACATGGCAAACAGTCGGAACGGGATGTTGCGGGGCTCGCGACGCTCGCAGTGCTCCACGTACTTGCGATCTCATAAAATGCCTGTTTTTTTCGACTGTTCGGCTCTGTCGCGGTACATCAAAGAGACGCTTGGGAGCCATGCGAGCATACTTTACGGCGCGGGGGTTCGAAGCGCTCGAGCTGTTTGCCTTGTTTGTTTAGTTTTTCGTTTGGTTTCATTCATAGAGGATTCGGTATTTACTGCAGTATGATGATACTACCATGATTTTTCTTATTTTTTTGTTCAGCATTACAGATATTTGTGTTTTGTTCTTGGATTAATAATATTAAATATACATTTAATAAAATATAACTCTATATTTATATTGCCTACTTAAAATATCATCTTTGAGAACTTTATTTATATTTTGGCATACGCCTGGAATTATTTTTGAAATGCTTTGCTTGGAAACTTTGAATAAATTACCCAAACTGGTCTATAAATCTTTCAAAGTCAGTAGCGGACATACGATAAAAATTATTAAAAAGCATTCTGTCTGTTTGTAAATCGCGTAGATGTTGCGATGTACTTTCACTGTGCTGGGATCTACTTTTGAAATTATTAGACATCCAACAACGCCTTTTTTCTCTTTATCTTCTTCGTTTTGCAATAATGATCGCACTAGCAGCTGCTATTAAAAATACTTCGGTATCATCCATGTCCGAACAGCACGAACGCAAGCGCTACATTGCAATGTAGACGCCGTTGCTTGCGATCCGAAAGATCTTGAGAAACACGACAAACAGGAAGCGCAAGCACAATCAGAATCAAGAGCGCGAACAGGATCACGAGCATTGTGGACGCACCTTAACACGTTAAAATCCAGACCACACTTCTAAAATGACAAAATCGGTATATCCGAGAAATATTGAAAAACTACGTAGCCCTTACCTTTGCCCAGTTTTTTTCAGATCTATTTGTCAGACTGTAGTGTGTTTTTTTTTAATTTTATGTTTGTGTTCTAAATTAAGACTAATATTTACCTGTCGTATTAGAATCCGTAGTTACTAATGTAAGTCCCTTAATAAAGTTTTGTAGAGTTCCTTCAGACTCTTTAGAAGGGGGTATATTCAGTACTGGTACAGATAGAGACGTGTCGAGAGTTTTCAGTTTTTCTTGCACTCTACTGATCGGCGACATATTTTTTGGAGCTAATTTTTTAGTACCCTATAAAAAAATAAAATATTTCGATTGAAAAGAGATCAACATTTCTTAACAAATCATAAACCAAGTTGAATGATAACATTTCGATTTATGTTATAAAACCTGTGGACTGGCAACTCTGCAATTGTACCCTTTCTCGCACGTAGGAACCGGCAACGTGACATTTCTTTGAGTTTCCGTGTATCAAGTACCATATGGTGCAAAAAATACGCCGTCAGCGATGGCTATGAAATAAAGATCGCTGTCACTTTATATGTAAAATTATATGGGGAATGTCATTGATGTTCATTTCCAAGCCAACTGGACTCCGTTTTTTTCGATCATACGGTACAATGACCAATGAATACAACAATGACTACGGGCTGCACCAGAATTTGTGATGTTAGACGCTATTTTTTTGGAAGTCACGAATGAGTCGTCGACTGGTCATCGCGAAAATTTTAGCGATTTTTAATAGTTTGTTGTGTGTAGTGAACTTTGTATAAACTCTAGTACAATGGTAATTTGATCAGCTTTTTACTGTGCAAGTGTAAAATACGTGTTTCATAGGGAAATAAACAGTCCACTCTACCTTTTTAGCGGTTTCTTATTGAATTCAACAATTATTTTTCTGATATTATATGTACAGGGTGGACCAACAACCAAAATTGTTTCTATAGGGTATCTAGGAAACCGTGAGAAATATTCAAACTTTGATACTGCAGTCTCGGGTTCTTTTTTTGAAAAAATTACAATGGCTCAAACGGATCGTGGCTATCTTGATCGGTTTCGAAGCTACAGGGGGATTCTCAAATTTTGTACTTTTTGAAGATCCAAAATTGATTAAACTATCTTCTAACCTTTTAAAAATGGCTGGGTTTGGTTGCTCGCGCTCTGGATAGCGCTCAAAATATAAATCAGCTGCCATTTGCTTATGTTTGTTAGACTCAATATAACATTTCTATACCAAACATATCATATTTCTCAAATTTTTCAAATTTACTCATTTTTTATTATTTAAAATACACACACTTCAATCTGTTGAAATGAAATGTCCCGCATCCATCAAAGGTATGTTCCGATCACCATGACAACCGTTTACTTTGTTACTCGGCGCGGCCTACTATCTACTAAGTGGATATTTTAAGAAAAATTTGAAATGTTGAGTTTAATAGTGAAAATAAATATAGAATGTTATATATTTTTGAGAAGCCCATGCCAAGCTCAATAAGAAAATTTAAAAATATACAGGCGGTTCTATTTAAAAAAACATAAGTATAGTTAATATCTCAAAAAATATTTTTTTTCGAAAAAAGTCTGACTACGTCACTGCATTCTACACAGAAAAGTACCTTTAGAATGTATAATTCATTTTTCCGTGGTTGCTGAAATAAACAAACTATCGAACATCTTCAAAAAGTACAAAATTTGAGAATCCCCCCGTAGCTTCGAAACCGATCAAGATAGCCACGATCCGTTTGCGCCATTGTAATTTTTTCAAAAAAAGAACCCGAGACTGCAGTATCAAAATTTGAATATTTCTCACGGTTTCCTAGATACCCTATAGAAACAACCAAAATGGTCCACCCTGTACTTGATATGTGCTTACGTCGATACTAGTTTTGTACCTTTTGTTAACATTTTAATACGTTTTTTTTTCGTAATTAATTAGTATGATACCACCGCATACACCATAGGCGTAGTAAAAACATTTATTAAAAATATAAAAAATATCTCTTCAAGCAGCTAAGTTAAGAAAAGTATGTGCCACGGCACTGTTTGGAAGTATGGTAACAATTTAGTCTCGGGTGTTATTAGTCCTTGTATTTATTAGTCATTGGTTTGGTACTTACCGCACCCAATTTTCCTTCATTTCCTACACTTACAGTGGCGGGTAAGAACTTTTTCGGGTCTGTATCACTCTTATCTTTTGATCTTTTATCCATTTCAACCATTGCACTAAAAAATGTAATTTTTCTTAGCTATAAAGTAATTCTGCGTTTTTAAAAATAAAAAAGACTGTAGGTGCATGCCTTTCATTTGAATCTGTATAAGATATGGTCACAGTTATCTCAGAAGGTGTTGAAATATAGTCGGTAGATTCCTTCTGTTCTTGTGATACTTCTCGTTCGGGTACAAGTGGTTCAGATACTTCGGGGAATTGAGAATCGGTATCACTGTATATCTGTAAATTGAAGTACTGCATTATATAGAGTATCCCAATATTAGTCCCAAAATAATTGAGTAGAGACCAGAGAAGATGCTGAGTCCTACTATTTAGTGATTTTAGCATTGTATTGCAATGAAAATTGCAATTTTAACTAAACAAAACGCAGATTTAATTTCAAATTTGTCAAAGGAAACTCAGAATAAAATTGAAAAACACATATCCTTAATTAAAGTCTAATATTGAAGAGCATTACCTGCGACAGAACTTCACTCTCAGTTATCCTAGAAGGCTGTACAATTTCAGATGATATAGTCTAAAATTTTAATAATTATAATTATGTAGATTTAAGCTTCCATTCAGAACCTCGCAATTAGTGGAATAAATTAGGGGTTTCAATTACACTTTATACTTTTTAGTTTTCGATCATTCACAATATTTAAAAAAACACAATTAAAATTAACAGAATCTCCTAGCAGCAGCTTGCTTTAGTCAGTTGTATCCATAGAGAAAGCCTAATATCACAGTTTAAAGAATATAAATACATCAGTTGACCCACTCTTCGCCCGTATCAAAATTCCTCCCGCCGCTCCCCGCCTGTCTTGTAGACTTGGATCAGTCTACATCCGTTGCTCGATGTGTACACAGCGTTCCAAGTTTATTTTAGTTTTTTTTTCGGTCCGACGCATAGGGTGAACCAAAAATAGTGTTTTAGTTGTTTTGTTCGAATTTTGAATAAAATGTCTACTAGAAATATATGTGCAGTGGATGGTTGTGAAAATAGAATGACAGACAATATTTCGTTCTTTAGGTGTCCAAAAGATGAAGGAAGGTATGTGTTTATATAGTATAGGATATTAAGTATATAATAATTAAAGTATTAGACGTATTAAGTATATTATAATTATGGAAACCTAACTATGAAAAAATGGTTTTAAAAATATACATATAAATTAAGAAAAGATTTTACTCGAAATATGCACAAAATATTTATTTTTAACAATTAGTTTATTATTTTAGTAGATATTTTAGAGTAGTAGTAGATACTTTACTATTATGTTTTGGATTTTGCAGTATTTACCGGTTTGCAAAGTGCATATTAAGTTATTAATTAAGATATTTGCATTTTTTTAAATAGCATGTTTTACTTTTTAGATGTTTGTATTTAACTTTAACTACCTACCTGGAAAGGCCAAATTTTATCGTCAGGTAATAAAAATACGTGCATACAACTTCTGCTATTGACAAGTTTTTTAGAGTTTTTACTAAATTTTATGTAACAGTAAATATAACAGTTGACGAGCACATGGGAAAAACGATGGGTATCCAGAAATGATAAATGTTCAGGAAACCGTTTTTCTTTTAATTGAAAATACGCATGGACTTTTATATCCGAGTTTATATCGTTTTTCCCATTTTTAACTGCCTGTTTCTATGTGGCCGTTATCGATATTCCCGTTTATTTAGGTACCAAAAGGTGTAGCTTTTTGGTATTTTCATTATTTTTCCCGAGTGCTCTTCAATTAGTAGTAAATACTGTAATAAATTATATTTGCATATTTCTTTAGGTTTTGCTTTTTAGCTGTTTGCATTTAACTTGAATTATCTACCTTTTTATTAAAAGGTAATAAAAAGTACTTGGATACAACTTGTCTTGCCATAGTCATTTTTTTTCAGTTTTTACTAAATTTTATCGAACACTAAAATTTATTACACAATTAACTACTAACAGTCATAATTACTGTTCATGATAATCATAAAATTTAGAATAGATTCCAAAAAAATTGACAATGGCAACACAAGTTGTATGCAAAGGTACTTTTATTTTCTTACGATAAAATTTGGGCTTTCCGGGTAGGTAATTGTAAAATGCAAACATCTATAAAGCAAAACATGCTATAATTTAAGAAATATGCAAGTTATTATTATATATATTAAAAAATTAACTTATTATATTTATTTAGTATACTTTTTCATATATGGGGTTTCCATAATAATTATTAATAATAATTACCCTATTGACAATTCCATATTACAAAGAATTAATGTATATTTAATACTAAATACTAACAAATATTGATCAATTATTAAAGACGCCTAAAACTGTTAATCAATAAAACTAGTACTCTATTTTTAATTTTCTACTTGCTATATTAAAATTCCTTAGTATTTTTGGTTGATCCCTCGTATACGGCCAGCGTTCTGACTGATAAAATAGCACTTCCGCTGCACCCGGTAAACGTACAAATTTTTTGTCATCTCGAAGGGTTACGGGCCGCCTTTGAAGTCAAAATAACAATAGAATTCCTTAGAGTGGACCAACTGATATATTTATATTCTTTAAACTGTGCTAATATTTAGCTTATAAAACAATCAACTTTTGATTTCTAACCACAATTTTTCTTGACGGAAGATAATCAAAGGCCAAAATGACATTTCTCGCAAATTTTGAAGTATAATTAGTGGAAAAGTTAAAAGTATGATAACTTTTTCTACTAATTGAAAATGTCTACCACTAATTTTGACGTTCTGACTGCTTACATTGAAATTAAAGGAACAAACTTCTACGCTAATTGAAACCACTAATTTATTCCACTAATTGCGAGGTTCTGAATGAAGATTTAAGTCTCATTTAGAACCTTGAAATTAGTGGAAAAAGTTAAAAGTTAATAACGTACCTTTTTTGACTCAGAACCAGTAGGGTTTTTAACGGAATCAGTAAGAGTCGCTTTAGCTTTGATAATTCGAGATGACGTAACACTTAGACTTACAGGTTTACTACTTAGTACAGTTTTAAGAATATCGCCGGTCGAATGTATTGTTTCTTCATCTTTATAACTAACAGCCTTTTGAACTGTCGGTTCGCTAGCGCTCTTTTGCGAAATCACTTGCAAGGCCTTATCCGAGGCATCGTCCATCATCTTCGCGATAAAACCCGAACTCTCTTTGACTATTAACTGGACACTACTAGCAGTATGGTCTCTGGGAGGCAATATCGTGAACCTAGTGTTCATACCGCTTATTTCTCCAGGCACAGACACTGTGCTCATACTCGTGACGTGTTCGTCCTTCGGTAAGTGTGCCACGGAGCTTAGACCTTGTAAATTCTCAATAGCGCATTTTATAGTGCTGAGTGGTTTGACTGGAGGTAACATTATTGAGATTCTCAAGGCTGCATCGTCAATCCAGAATTGGCTTTTTTCATCTGATGCCCTTGGCTCCGAAATAACTCTACCCACCTCCTCGATCCTGTTTCGCGATTCGTCGAAATTGACGCGCGAAGCCTTCGGTTCTTGTTGATACATTTTAGCTTCTTGTTGAGAACTTTTAGATCCTTTTTGATACGCATCCGGTGCCTCTTGAGACCTTGTAGATTCTTGTTGATAAATTTTAGATTCTTGTTGATAAGCTTCCGGTTCTGTTTGATACATTTCAGCTTGTTGAGACGTTTTAGACCGTTGTTGATACGCATCCGGTGCCTCTTGAGAACTTGTAGATTCTTGTTGATACATTTTAGATTCTTGTTGATAAGCTTCCGGTTCTGTTTGATGCATTTTTACTTCTTGAGACGTTTTAGACCGTTGTTGATACGCGTCTGGTGCTTCTTGAGACCTTGTAGATTCTTGTTGATAAATTTTAGATTCTTGTTGATATGCTTCCGGCTCTGTTTGATACATTTTAGCTTCTTGTTGAGACGTGTTAGACCGTTGTTGATACGCGTCCGGTACCTCTTGAGACCTTGTAGATTCTTGTTGATATGCTTCCGGTTCTGTTTGGTACATTTTAGCTTCTTGTTGAGACGTTTGAGACCGTTGTTGATACGCGTCCGATACCTCTTGAGACCTTGTAGATTCCTGTTGATAAATTTTAGATTCTTGTTGATAAGCTTCCGGTTCTGTTTGATAAAATTTAGGTTGTTGAGACGTTTTAGACCGTTGTTGATACGCGTCCGGTGCCTCTTGAGACCTTGTAGATTCTTGTTGATATGTTTCCGGTTCTAGTTGATACATTTTACCTTGTTGAGACGTTTTAGACCGTTGTTGATACGCGTCCGGTGCCTCTTGAGACCTTGTAAATTCTTGTTGATACATTTTAGATTCTTGTTGATAAGTTTCTTGTTCTGGTTGATACATTTTAGCTTCTTGTTGAGACATTTTAGACCCTTGTTGATGCGCTTTCGGTGCCTCTTGGTACCTTGTAAATTTTTGTTGATAAATTTTAGATTCTTGTTGATACATTTTAGCTTCTTGTTGAGACGTTTTAGACCGTTGTTGATACGCGCCCGGCACCTCTTGAGATCTTATAAATTCTTGTTGATACATTTTAGATTCTTGTTGATAAGCTTCCGGTTCTGGTTGATACATTTTAGCTTCTTGTTGAGACGTTTTAGACCGTTGCTGATGCGCGTCCGGTGCCTCTTGAGACGTTGTAAATTCTTGTTGATACATTTTACATTCTTGTTGACAAGCTTTTTGTTCTGGTTGATACATTTTAGCTTCTTGTTGAGACGTTTTAGACCGTTGTTGGTACGCGTCCGGCGCCTCTTGAGACCTTGTAAATTTTTGTTGATAAATTTTAGATTCTTTTTGATACATTTTAGCTTCTTGTTGAGATGTTTTAGATCCTTGTTGATACGTTCCTGGTTCGGGTTGATATTTAAAAGCTTCTTGTTGAGATCTTTCAGGTTCTTGTTGATACGTTAAAGCTCCTTTTTGAGACGTTTTAGATTCTTGTCCTATTTTAGATTGATTGGCTCTAGGTTCCAATTGACCAGCTTTAAAGATCGAAAACTTGTTAGGGCTGTCTGCAGCACCAAAAAATCCATAACTATAATCATCCTCTACCTAATAAAAGAAATTAATTAGTTTGACTCTTAAGATGTAAGTAAGGAGTCGTTTCGAGAGTCCGTAGTTATTATTTTGTTTTCGGCATACAATGAAGAAATATCGTATACTACTGAATCGTTTTAATGATTACTCTTACCGTTTTGGACTCATCCACATTTCTCTTGCCTCTTGGATGTTTCTTAAGCCCTTCAGGATTAATATAGGTCTTGTAGACGCTCACATCGATAGCTGATAGTTTTTCTCGTGACGTGTGATTCAGAGGATCGGGTAAATGCCGGTTTGGATTGTCGTAAATCAGGAACGACCTCAGCATCATCTCCCTTATAGGGTCGTGTTCTAGTTTTAGAAGCCACATACATATATTAGTACAAACCGAGAGCCATCTCAAGAATATGAATATGATATGAATCTCTATAATGATCTAACTTACCGTTCCTCGTGGTGTCTTTGGATTTCGAATACAATTTTGAATCGCTGTGGCTAAGCGGCTGTTTGTCACTACTCTGCGTCTGAGGGACACTAACTAAAAATATAAAAGAAATTTTTATTAATAAGTAACGTAAATATGCAAACATTTTCGGCATAGTATGTCCAACGAGAGAATAAAGGCTAGTTGCGTATTTATTTGCCCTCTTAGTTTTAAAATTAATTGTTGCAAAATTGTAAAATAAAGAACTGTGTGTGTGAAAGGAATTTTAAGAATGCAGACACAATATTCGAGTATGATCAATTTATTAGAAAACACCTACACTATCGGACAAAAGTAGAACAACAAAGTTCATTTTTATTTATGTTTGAATAAAAAAAATATTAGGTTGTGATTTTCGGCTATGTTTACGGACACCCTATCCTTACACTAAAAGTAATATTTGACAAAATTTTGGTGTACTTTTAATCAGTTTAAAAATGGTAAATAATAATGATTATAAAAATTGATGAGAATCAATGCGACAAAAGTAGAGCAACAAATTGTATTCAACAGATTTTCTTAAAAAAGATGTCTTATTTCAACAAAAAATATTTAACACATTTAAAATCAATAATAATTGAAAGTAATACATTAGTAATTGATAGAATATCCATTATTATTAATAACTTGCTGACAACGGCGCCGCATTGAAGCAATCAGCTTCTGAATGACATTTTCGGGAGGATTTATCCAAACTTCATTAATTTTATCTATCAAGGATTGTTTATTTGGAAACATTTGGGTACGAATACGACGTTCTACTTCCCAGAGATTTTCAATGGGGTTAAGGTCTGGGGATTGTGCTGACCATTGCAACACTCTAACGTCATTTTCCCCAAACCACTGTTGAAGAACTTGTGAAGAGTGTTTTGGATCGTTGTCCTGTTGGAAAATAAAATGCAGTGGCATTTCCCATTCTGCATAAGGAAGCATAACATTCTGCATGATATCCCTATAAACAAATCGGTCCATCGTGTCATTAATAAAGTGTATAGGGCCTATCCCATTCCATGAGAAACAACCCCATAAAAATACACTGCCTTTACAAATATCTTTGCCGTTACCGTGTTTAATTGTAGGTGTTACGTATTTAGGATTAAACCTGGTATTGATTGGTCGCCTCACACGTCTCATTCCATCAGAATTGAATATTTTGTAGCGCGTTTCATCACTGAACAGAACTTTTTTCCAGTCATTGACGGTCCAGTTTAAATGCCGACGTGCGAATGCCAACCTTGCTGCTCTATTTCTTTCCGAAACTAACGGCTTTTTAGCTGGACGTCTACTAAATAACTTTGCATATATCTACTAATTTTCTTTGTACTGTTACCAACCGTAATTTCTGAAATTTCGGCGATAATTCTAGGTGCGGACTTCCAAGATCATTTTGAGCCATTCTTTTGATGCGTCTGTCGGTCATTACTGTTGTTTTCTTTGGCCTTCCCGATTTTGGCAACTTTTCTAAGTATCCCCTGTCATTATACTGTGAAATTATTTTAGCTGCACTGTACCGGGGTAACACAAACTGTCTTGAAATATCGGCTTGTATGTTACCTTCCATGAATGCATTCACAACTCTTTGCTTCAAGTCTTTTGAAATTGGAATTCCTCTTGGCATGACAGCATAGAAATGTTTAAAAAAACATAAAATAAACCTCGCACAATTATTTTGGTCTTTACTTTTGCTAAAACCTAAAACCCTTCTTTGGAATGAATTATGTTGCTCTACTTTTTACGCGTTACTATTAAGCATTTAAAACTAAATATCAAAATAAATTCATTTGTTTTGTGTAAAAATTCTTGCTGTCATAGATACTCATAGCCTTTTTCCTAGTTTTTAAATTTATTGTATTTGTATACATTATCATGCATGTATAATTAAAAAATCGCGATTTGCAAATACACACACCGGAAAAGTCTAGGGATATTACATTTTTATCCAGCCAGTGTCAGTAATTTTATTATTTGCATTTCTGATATAATAAAATTAAAATAAACAAATAGTTTACAGGACGTATTGGAAATAAAAATGCGAATTACCGAATTTTTCAAATTTACCTTCATTTTTATTGAACTCAAAAAAATACACACATTTTTTTAAATTCTAAACTGTGAATTAAAAAAAAAGATAAAACCATTTTTACTTAATAAAGGGTATGGCCTCCTCTACTGTTCATCGCAGCCCTACATCGTCTCTCCATGCTCCTGATCAGGTTGTCGATCTCTTCTTGAGGTACAGCCTGCCACGCTGCATTCACGGCCCGAACCAGATCCCTACGAGTTTCACGAGGCATACCCATTCTCAAAATTCTTCTTTGGACCGCATACCATACGTGCTCGATTGGGTTGAGTCAGGAGATTGTGCCGGCCAGGGTAAGATGTTTAATTGATGAGCATTGATAAACTCACTTACCACTCTGGCTGTATGAGGCCGTGCATTGTCATGCATGAGAATGAAGTTTCTCACAAAATCATTGGCATATGGTAACACGACAGGCTCAAGAATTAAATCACGATATGTGATTCCTGTTAGAAACCTTTCAAGAAAAACGAGATCGGTTTTTCGGCCTAACTGGACTCCTCCCCAGACCATAACTGTTCCACCTTGATAAGGGTGCACTTCCTGAACATGATCCAACCTAATAAGATTTCCCGGTTCTCTCCCTAAGCCTTCTCGAATCCGGATGAATTCCAAAGCGTGACTCGTCCGTGAAGAGAACATTGGCCCATTGTTCATTCGACCACTGAACATTATCTTGAGCCCACAAATATCGTAACTCTCGATTTCCTCTCGTTAAGGGTTAAACTCTCCAGGGGCGTTTGCTTCTTAAGTTGGCCTCTCTTAATCTATTGCGGACAGTGTCAGGACTAACGGTTACATTATGTGTTTCCTGGAGAATTAAACTAAGCTCTGGTGCGGTAAGAGTCGGCCGGCGTCGAGCATTTAATTGTAAAAAATGATCTTGCTGAGGGGTAGTAATGCGATGTCGCCTTGTGTGCCTTTCAGCAACATCACCACTTTCACGGTAGCGTGCACTTAATCGCGATATTACACTTTGCGTTGTATTTAATGCTCTAGCTACGGCGATTTGGCGCATTCCAGCTTCAAGCATAACCATGGCCCTTAGCATTTCGTCTCTGTTAAGATGTCTACGCTCCATAATGTCGTTTAATACTAAACAGAGTTATTTGGATGAATTCTGGCCAGTTATCATAAAAACATAGCCAGTACAGGTTAAATTCGAACAACTGATGCTAGGTGCTTTTTATACATTTGACAAAAAATGCACAAACCCTTCTGCAAATATCCCAAATTTAGAAATAACTAGTGTGACTACTTCGTTTCAATCGAAGTAGAAAGAATCGGCCTACAAATATGTGATTGTTTATTCAAAACATTTATTTTTAACTTTAATAAAATTATATCCCTAGATTTTTCCGGTGTGTGTATTTCTCGAAGTGTTGCTCTACTTTTGTCCGATAGTGTATATAAATAAACAGCAATATATTTTATAGATCGCTACCTATATAGAAGCGGCAACGGGTCTACGTGGACTTGACGAGTATGTCACCTCAAAATACACTCCGTCCACTCATTACATTGGCTACTTACAAATTTGTCGATTTTTTTATTGACGGGACGCGTCGTCTTTTTTTACGAGAAACATCGATTAAAACGGTAGCAGACCGAGCTTGGAGAACAGTGCAGTCGTTATCGCTAAAATAGTTGCGGGATTTTATTGTTTTTCTTCATATTTTTTTAATTTTATAAAGATTATGTCTAATTTACGTGAAAAAACATTGAAAAAATAAAACGGATTGGGTATTTTGGAAATTTTTGTGTAAGTAAGTAATGTTTTCTAAAATATTTATGGCTAACAGAGAATTTCGTTTGCCATCTTACAGATACAGAACGGATCGACGTACTGTACAATATTATTATTAAATAATTATTGAAATGTCAGATACTAATTGTAATGGTATTTAATAAACATGAGCTACCTACTTTTAGTATGTTTTGAATCTAATATATTCAGTTTCGAATGGTCTAATTCTAAGAAACACACGTTTTCTGTATTTTGCATGCGATTCTCCGTGTTCCCTTGTGGATATATGGAAAAATTCAGGATCATCATTTTGGTCAACGCTGGATGAAGAATAACTGGTGGCAACCTTTGAACAGTTAAGTTTGGTTTCTGTAACAATAATATAAACATGCATTAGTCATTACTATATTTATGCAACCCTATGGGCAAGCGATGGATCAGATCATAAAATCCTAGTGGTAAAGTTCCATCGTAAACTACAGGCAGTGAAATTGATCAAAACGAAAAGGTATTCAGTACCTACTAAAGAAGGAATAATGAAAACAATGAAATCGGTAAAAATGCCCACACTAAAAAATGACGTACAAGAAATGTGGAATGACACTAGGACTTGGATAAATGAAATAGTTAAAGGAAGCTGCACATCTGGAAACATTAAATTAAAGTCTAAAACTTGGATGTCGAATAATACGATCAATTTGCTTGAAAAGAGAAGAAACCTAGTCATATCAACAACATTTGACAAAGAACACAAACTAAGAAACATCAATAAAGAAATAAAAAACAGCTGTAGACAGGATAAAAACAAGCACGTCCACGAGATTTGCACAGAATTGGAAAGACACTCGGCAACTAACGAATCTAGAGAGCTATTCAATAAGGTAAAATATCTCTCTCGTGAGTTTCAACTACGTACACAAATTATACAGGATGAAAATGGTCGAAAGATTACTGATCCGGATGGTATTGTTGAAGTCTGGCGAAAGTACTGCACAAAGCTTTACGAAGATGGTGAATCTTCTAATAATAATAATCGTCCCAACCAATTCGAACATGAACCGGAGATCCTTAAATCAGAAGTTGAACACCCCTAAATCGTCTCAAAAAAAATAAAGCCCCAGGTATAGATGGTGTAGCTGCTGAGATATTAAAGTCAATAGGGCAACCGGTAATTGATGTTATTCATTTCATATGCAATCTGATTTGGAAGACGGGAATTTGGCCAGACGACTGGTGCAGCTCGCTATATATACCACTATATAAAAAGGGTAATCCGGCAGACTGCAATAACTATCGAATGATTGCTTTAATTCCTCATGCATGCAAAATTCTCCTGCAGATTATTAACAACAGACTCAGGCCATATCTACTACCACAGATTGCAGAAGAACAAACTGGCTTTATGCCTGGTAAGGGTACCAGAGAACAGATAGGGAACGTACGACAGTTAATAGAAAAAGCGCGAGAATTCAACATAGAAATGTATCTCTGTTTTATCGACTATTCTAAGGCCTTCGATCTAGTCAAGTGGCAAAAACTTTGGCAAATACTCAAGGAAATGGGGGTTCCTGATCACCTTATTCTACTTATCCGACAACTATACCAACATAATTACGGACTTATAAGAATTAATGATGTCACATCAAATAGATTTCAAGCAATGAAGGGTGTCAGGCAGGGGTGTGTTCTCTCACCCCTATTGTTCAATATTTATACCGAGTACATAATGCGTGATATTCTCGATAACTGGCAAGGTGGAGTATCTGTGGGGGGAAGGAAAATCAATAATCTAAGATATGCCGACGATACACTAATCATAACATCAAGTGTGGAAGAAATGGAATTTATTATGCAACGTCTCCAAGAAACTAGTACAGAATTTGGGCTAAAACTTAATCCTAACAAAACTACTGTCATGATTGTGGACCGACAAAACAACAACCAACCTCACGTGGGAAACATAGCTGGATTTAAGGTGGTTAATAAATACTTATATCTGGGATCGCTAATCGACAACAGCGGCTCATGCGAAGGCGAAATAAGACGTAGAATTGCGCTGGCTAGAACAGCCGTAACTAAATTAACTAAGATATGGAAAGATACAGCCATCACTAAGAACACCAAACTAAGACTGCTGAACTCGCTTGTTTTCCCGATTGCTACGTATGGGACGGAAACATGGCCGCTGAAGAAAAGCGATACCAGGCGAATAGATGCTTTTGAAATGTAGGCATATAGACGTCTGCTACGTATACCTTGGACAGCCCATCGTACGAATGAGTCAGTTCTCCAAGAACTAAACTCACAACTCAGCCTCTCAAAAAAAATAAACCGATGTTTTCTGACATATATTGGTCACATTGCTAGAAGAACGGACTCACTGCAGCTGCTAATAGTCGAGGGAAAGGTAGAGGGAAAGCGACCACGAGGAAGATCACCCAAGAGATGGGTTGATCAAACTAAAGACCTAATCGGCCAAGGCCTTCATGAAACCGTCAGCATGGCTCAAAACAGAGCGGACTGGCACAATACGATAAAAACCGCTACAGGAACATCATAGTCACTAATCCCTCTTCAGGGAAACGGACCAAAGAGAGATGGGCAAGCGAAGTCTTCGGTCTGCGTTTACATGTCTAGTGAGTCGGAGATAGAAAAATTGCAAAGTATGTATTATACAGGGTGGCCCATCGAAAACGTTCCGCAAGGCATAACGGCCAGGGTAATTTTTTTTTTTCAGAAAATTCAAAAACACGTCAATTTTGTTTGTGAGGGGAACAATTTTTACCCCAAAAATGGTTGCAAAATCTTCAACCCTCTAAGCGGGGGTGTCATCCCCCAATTTTTTTCAAATGGGAAGGGGGGTCAAGTGGTACCGCATTGAAAAGGGCTTTCTATTCTCTATACTTTCCCACTTCGTTTTTGAAAATCGGTCGAGCCATTGAGAAAATATGAAGGATTGAAATTCGAAAAGTTTATTTAAACATTTATCAGAGTAAATGATAAGGATAAATTCCGCCGACCAATTTGCTGTTTTTTCTTGTTATTTCTAGATGTTTACGCATTTTTTCACTTGCCACAAAAATGAATGAAGGATCGGGTTAGGTAGAGTGTACTTTCTTTTTGAAAGGTGTAGTTAATCGGCACAACGGAAAGGTGTAGTTGTCGGTACTGGGCTGAGGACAACCCCAGGGTTTTTCACGAGGTGCACACACAAAACCCTAAGAAATTGAACGTGTGGGCTGGTATTTTTAGAAATTCTATTGTGAGTCCTTTTTTTCTTCCTGGAAATCTAACAGGCGATATGTACTTGGATTTACTGGAAAATACCATCGACCCAGCCCTAACTGACATCATAGAGAACAATCCTGGATACGTTAAAGCGGAACTAATATTTCAACAAGAGAATAAGTCTAGGAATATCATCATTTTTGTTAAAACCTACTTTTTTTAACATATATTTTTTTTTATCATTTAGTTATTATTTAGTTTATTTTTTTTATGTCCTGAAATAAAATTGTAATCTGTATTATCTATAATTTTATTTGTAATATTTCACCATTTCACCTGAATATATATATAATAAGAATTTATAATCGTTATGTATTAACATTGATGGTAAAATATGTAAATTGTTTTGTTGTAAAATTAACATGAATAAATTACTATTGCTATTATAAGATAATGTACTTAACTAAAACCGTTTTTTTATTTCACATTTCAATTCATATTGTGTTTATATTTGTAAACAATGAAATATATGTTATTAAATAATAATAAGAAGAAGAAAGTAAATAAATGTTGATCAATTATTAAAGACGCCTAAAACTGTTAATCAATAAAACTAGTAGTGTATTTGTATTTTTCTACTTGCTATATTAAAATTCCTTAGTATTTTTAGTTGATCCCTCGTATACGGCCAGCGTTCTGACTGATAAAATAGCACTTTCGCTGCACCCGGTAAACGCACAAATTTTTTATCACCTCGAAGGGTCACGGGCCGCCTTTGAAGTCAAAATAACAATAGAATTCCTTAGAGTAAGCCAACTGGTATATATTCTTTAAACTGTGGTAATAGACTCTTAATCCGATTTCTTTATTCAACACATCTTATTGTACTGACCCAAGTAGCATTTGGACGTTATCTAACGTCGGGTATACGTCGCGTCCAATAAATCCGACGTCGAGTACCAACGTCGCGTCGGTTCGACCGCCTGACGACCCTTATTTGCACCTAAATGGGGAATACAGATTCGGGTCGCCTCGACGTCGGTATCTGACCTAATAGGAAATGTAATTCTACCAATTACCAACGTCATATTACGTTGGATTTTAGTCACTTAAAATTCGTCGCTAAGCACTTACGTTACGTTTGGTTTCATATTCGCTACCAAGAATACATAAAAACCTAACCAAACTACCTAATTACAAATGGATTCATAATCACTCCTCGAATATAACTATAAGTGCCTACCTAATTTCATATTATAATAATTCTGAATCATTAATCCAGACATCAGTTTTGTCAACGGAAGTCACTTTTTGATATATCTGATTAAAATACTCCGGGAAAACAACGAGCGCCTTCAAAATTAGGTAGATTTATGAAATAAAAATATCTATAAAAAAGTAACTCGCAAAATATTTTTTTTATTTTCTAGCTGGTTTAATCATAAAACTGTACTGTGGTTCCCCCCTAACTCAACCTTATCAATATTATTCTACTAGAAATCGGAATGTGAATATAAATATTAAAAACAAAAAACGATTTTAAAATGGCTGACAATCGGATACTTGTTAAGAATGGCGGATTCCTGTGTCCGACTTAATATGAACTACCAATATACCAATTCCGACCGGGTCTCCAACATTAGTCGTCTCACACGACCGAAGTCATCAAACCGGACGACCGGCAATCGTATTATGACGTATATAATTCCAACGTACGCCACGTAACCTCACTTTGCGTATCTGTGATTTGTGGATTTGTGCAACTGTATTTTAGTTTTTGTTTTCTCCTTGAAAAAAATGGGCAGCCACTTTTTTAAGATAGTATATATACAAAATTTAAAAGAATTGGAACCAGTACCTCACATGTGGGAGGAGGATGGGGTCTGCTGGTTTCCTAAGCTAAAAAATGAAATTAAGATGCACCAGTGTAATACAGCATCTCTTCCGGATAAAAAGCATTCGTGGGTGGAGGCAAGACATCACTACTACTATTATTATTTTATTTATTAGCTTTCTGTAAAATGTAGATGAATGTCTAAATGCCTTTTTAGTGTTTTTTTAAGCATAATAAAAAAATTAAGTTTGTTTACAAAAACTTTTTATTAGGTTATGTTCATGATGTTTATTAGGCCGCAAATGCTACTTAATGGGTTGTATTTACGGACGTAAACAGAGATACGTAAATTAGGTTATAAATATAAACATAAAATACAACAAAATATAATTGGACGTTACTTTAGGGATTATCAGTGGGACGTATCCTATTCGGACAACGGGTAGACGTCGGGCTAGTTCAAGTATTATGTACGTCGTGCAAGCCAACGTGGGAACGACGTTGAGAAATTAATAAAAATGGTACGTTGTTATTTTGTACGTCGACAGATCGTTGGATTTACCGACTCGGATCCAACGACGTCGCTTTTAATAGGAAAGCGACGTTACCGGTCGTATCACCAGCACCAGACCTAAATTTGCACAAAGTCTGACGTCGCTTCAGGTCAGATTTAGTTCGAAGTCAGATAGATGCTACTTGGGGATGGTATTACACACGAAGATGGATGAGCACGGCGATAGAGAGGGAAGAGATTGGGGGAGGCCTACGTCCAACGATGGACCGAAGAGGCTGAATAGATAGATTAGATAGATATTTATTTACCTTTGGTTTCTTTAGCGTCGAATCTAGACAAACACAATTTTGATGTTCCTCCTTCAGCCCAATTTTGTTACAATTTTTTGCATAAGTATTCTTCTGCTCTGCAGGCGGTATTTCTTGGACGGGCAGCGTTTTCTTTTGACAGCTTTTCGGTTTTTTATTAGGCATAGCTACAGTTTGTGATCCGAAATGTTTAGACTGTAAGCATTTTGCTTTGGGAGCGACAGAGTTGAGCATCTGTGTTGATTGAGATAATGTTTTTAAGTGGCTTCCAAAATTCATTTGAAAATCGCATTTTCTAAAAAAAATATATAAATTTTTGTTTGTAATTGAAAATAACTCTAAGCAACATGCTCTGCAGATAAAAATAAGTAAAATAAAAAAAAGGATATTTATGGCGGGTCTAGATCAAACAGACAAGACAGAAACATTCATGTTTTACGACAAAATTGCGACAAATCCAATTTTTGTTTTGTTTCAAAATTCGGAGACTTTTCAATGTCCCGTCCCAGCTTCAATGTACTGTCCACAACAGTAGGAGACCACAGTGAAATCACACATGGTTAATAAAACTCATTCGCAACAACTAAACTTTTGACTTTGTTGTACTTTTGTCCTTGCGGTGTGGACAATTTGTCTCAAGCTTGTCTTGTTAGAATTCCACATTTTTTGTCGCAAGTTTGTCTTGTTTTTTGTCTCAAAATCGTGTTTACTTTTTGTCGCCTTGGTCTGGACCCGGCATTATACAGGATTATTCACCTCATACATAGACCCGGAGTACTGTAGCCAAATAATTAGATTTTTAGAAATTGTTAGTAATGGTACCGTTTAAGGACTACTAAAGCTATAATTTAAAATTATTTTCAAAAGATACAGTGGGTCGAATAAATAAAAAATATCAAAGTTGTATATTTTAAATGGAATGTACTGTATATTATTACATTTTTTAGTGTCTACGATTAAAATAAAGTTAAATAAAAACTAAACTATCTTATACAGAGTGTCTAAAAAAGTATATTAAATAATTATTAGCTTTACGAGTGATTATCACTATACCTTCCGTTTCCATTCCGTATCCGTTCCGTATTTTTATGGTATTGACGCTATACGGGGTAAGCTTCCGTTCCATATCAGTTCCATACTTTTTATTGTACAGGGTGTCCCACTAAGAATAGCTCTCGGCTGTGTTTCGGAAAAAAATATTTATAACTAAAGTGGCTATGGGAAATTGCTGGAAATTATTTTCAAGTTTGTAGAACGACCGCTAGGGGGCGCAACTGCAACAAAAAATAAGAAAATGGAGTTTTTATACACTGACTCGTCATTTCTTGTTCACTATTATTAATATCTTAATTATTAGATATTAATATATCTGGTATTATGGCATTCTGGTATTTCGTCGATTTTAAAATAAACTAACTTTCTATCTTACTGTTTTGTTAGAATGGGCCTAATCAAAAGGGCTACTGATACTGTATTGTAAAAATAAGGTAATTAAGGGCTTATTTTTTGGTATTTATTATAATTTTGCTAATATCTTCGGTTTGAAAGAAGATATCAAGATGCGGTTTTCGCTGACTTTTTAAGCTTTTACTATTCTTTACTATCAGCTAAAATAACACATACTATCGTATTTAATTTTTTTTTTGAAAAAACGCGCTATGTTTGTTAAATTGTAAGAAAGCGCCCCCTAGCGTCTACGTTCAAAATCTTATTATTATTATTTTTATGGTATAATATGGAGTAAGAAACGCTCTTTTAAACGAGCCCTCGTTTGTTGGATTCTGATCATCCAGTCCGGAGTTATTAACATATAAATAAAGATAGATCTAACCTTCTCCCACCATTTTATTTTAGCAGATAGGGGAAAATACTTCTAACAAAAAAAATCCAAAATTTACTGAAGATTATGAAGCTATTATTGGTATAGTACTCATTATCTAGGCAAAATTCTGTAAAAAATCTTTTCTTATTTTCCATAGCAGGTGCGCCACCTAGCGGCCGTTTTACAAACTTGAAAATAATTTCCAGCAATTTCTCATAGCGCCTTTAGTTATAAATATTTTTTTCCGTAAGCCCTACGGCTAATACTTTCCAAGATACAGCCGAGAGCTATTCTTAGTGGGATACCCTGTACAATTTATATCATTCCGAAAATTTTATTTTAAAAAATTGTATCTTTTAAAAAAGGTAATTGATTTAATAAGAGGTGAAAGAATAAATAAATATCAGCAAAATTTTAACGGAGCTGGTACAAATGTAAGAACTTGACAACGCTGTTTCCGATACAAAACAAAAAACACAAAAACAAAACACAACGCTTTATTGTACAAAAAGCCAAAACAGCTTCATCGACAAAGCAAAACAAAAAAGCACAAAAACAAATATACAAATAAACAAATAAAAATGTCATACAATACAAATCAATTCGAAAAAAAATTTACGTCATAAAATTACAAATAAAACATATATGGACATTGCAGAACACAGGCGTATCTAGAAAATTTTACAAAAGGAAAATTGCAAATGGATAAAATAATGTTATATATTATAAAATCAAGAGTTATAAAATATTACATACTAGACCTTTAACCAGTGTGTGAGATGATCAAAATTTTAAAATTCAAAATTGTTCATGATTAAACATCAACAAAAAAGTCGTTTACCGCATATAGGGCTCTCTCCAGTAAGTATAATTTCAGAGCTTTGCGAAATGCGGGAAAGAATGAGAGTGACTTGATATTCGAAGGCAAATGATTGTACATTTTCTTGGCATTGTACAGTATTGAGCCCTTAACTAGTTCTGAGCTCGGGGTTGGCAGATAAATATCGTGCTCCGCATTCCTAAGTGGATAGTTGTGAAAAGGACTTTCCGGAATAGAGAATATGTGCTTGCGGATTAAGCAAACGGATTAAAAAATGAATAAGGAAGGAAGAGTCAGTATTTTGAAATTTTTAAAGAAATTCTGGCAGTGAGTTCTACTGTTTAGTCCCAATAAGTATCGAACTGCTCTCTTTTGAAGTTTGAAAATACGATCAAATTTTGTCGCGCAGCAAGTACCCCAGAATGGAAGGGCATAACGAAGATGCGACTCAAAAAGGGCATAATAGACCATTCTAGAAGTTGATGAGTTAAGTTCTTTAGAAACTGATCTTAGCGCAAAACAGGCTGAGCGTAGTTTCTTTGATAAGGCTTCGATGTGCAAGTCCCATTTTAACGAGTTGTCTACAACAAGTCCTAAGAATCTCACAGAGTCCACGACGTCAATAGTGATGTTATTAAGTACAAAAGGTTGTATAGTACTTTTATATAACAAAACTTTAGTTCTTGAAAGGTTGAGGCATAGGAGATTAGAATCGCACCAAGATTTAATGGTGCGTAAGTCACTGGATATAGTACTATATAGTGCCGTAACATCTGGGCCGCTCCAAGTGAAACTAGTGTCGTCCGCAAAGAGGCAGATTTTACCGCTAATGTCTAGACTTGCAATGTCGTTGATAAACACCAGAAATAAAATAGGGCCAAGTACTGAACCCTGAGGGACACCGCATTCTATAGGCTTACAAGAAGCACAAGCTGCCTTCTGTTGCCAAGATACGACTTAAGCCATTCGAGCGGCACTCCCCTGAATCCATAGTATTGCAATTTGTTAATTAAGATATTATGATTTACACAGTCGAAAGCCTTAGGGAAATCACAGAAAATTGTAGCTGTAGAGTGATGGTTATTCAGGCTAGAGTATACATTATTAAAAAGGTCGAACATAGCATCATTTGTGCAACTGTTACTTAGAAATCCAAATTGATGGGTAGAAAGTACTTTATATTTAAGGAGAAAAGATAGAAGCCTTTTTTTAACCAATTTTTCAATGATCTTAGATAATGTGGGCAGGAGAGCACACACACACAATTGGGCGACAGTTCGAAGCTTGATCTTTATCACCTCCTTTATGCAGAGGAATAATTATTGCTGTCTTAAAGCAGTTTGGAAAAACTCCTTTTTGGAATGACTCATTAATTAAAGTAGTAAGATAGATTAATGTGCATTCCGGAAGTTCAGAGAACATTTTGAGAGTAAGCCCATCAGTCCCAGATGAGAATTTATTTTTAATACTTTTAATTGTACTACGGAGCTCATCTAATGCTACGGGCGTGAAGAAGAAACTGTGTAAATTCTCATTTGCTTTAGGGAGATATGAAAGTGAATCATGGGAAGGAGTTATGGTGTTCACTAAATTTTTAGCCACATTAACAAAGTAAGTGTTTAAATCTTCAGGTGGAATTAAAGACTGTGCCAGACGAAGCAGTCTTATTCCTTAAGTCATTTACAATAGCCCAAGTCTCTTTAGCAACATTACCGGATTTGGCTAGCCTCCCATTATAATAAATCTCCTTGGCAGCTTTTATAGTCTTACGATAAACCCTTCTATAAAGTTTCACGTAATTATGAAAGAAAACACTGTCTGTGAATTTTTTAAGGTGAGATAATGAGCGCATGTTCTTTGCAGATATACGCAAGCCTGTCGTAGACCAGGGTATACCTTGCTTACGTTTGATAGGCCTAAGAGGAAACGCCTTGCACGCCAGATTAGACAAGGTATTTATAAATCTAGAAAATTCGGAATCGACGTCAGCCGAGAGGACCACCCACTCAGTTGTTAGACATAGGTGGTGAAAATTTAGAAAATTTTTATCCGAAAAAATACGGTCCAATTTGCGCGAGGTATTTTTGCATTTGGATTATGGCAAAAACGTTGTCAATACTGCCTCATGATCAGAGAAACCTGAGTGAAGGACTCTACAGTCAACGAATTCCAGGTCAAAAGACGACACGACATAATCTATAGTACTAGAGCCAGTTTTAGTTATTCTAGTTGGTGAGTCAACATGCATGAGTATACCAAAAGAATGAAAAATGGACTGGTCCTATTCATTTACATGATATAATATTTTATGTGAACGGAAGGGAGCTGATATGGAAGGTATAGTGAGAATCAACCTTGAAACGGCCATAACTTGTTTAATTTAAATAGAACAAACATCCTGTATATGTTACGAGAATTAGATGCACAATTTAATTGTCTATGAAATTGTATTATACCATTATTTACCTATCCCTTCAAGTTTTCGTAGAAAATGCATTTTCTCATAATTTAGAGCTTTATTTTTTACTGCTTTTTCATTTATCAATAACCTAACTTACCCTTGACATGGCATACCAACTCCAACTCCTATCTCTGCGGTCTTTGGACATGCTTGGACCGTTTTCGTAGCCTGTTCCAGTGGATCTGTATTGCAGCCGCAACAATTGTATTGCTTTTTCACGGGCAAAGCTAATAAAAACAAACACAAAAACCTATTAGATTATTATGGCCATATCAGACGGTTCACTTGGACGAATAATCACTCAAGAAACCAAACGTCCGTCATTATGACAGTCCGTTATTCAGATGCAATGTCCGTTCTCAAGATTTGTCCGTCCAAATGTCCGTCAATTGAATTTAATTAATTCAAAATAGGTGGAAGCAAAATGATACTAAAATAGATATAAAATGTGTGGAAGATTTTCAGCATTTTTCTTTGGAGGATATTTCGTATTTTAACATATAAGAAATTATTGAATTTTGTTTGTCTTCAGGGGACTAATGCTCATACAGAAAGGTTTTATATTAAACATTATAATAATGACCTTTTAATAACATTCATGATAATGTAATTTTAACAGAACGTCAACGGTTTCTTGTAGACGTATCTGTTTTAAAAAAGTAGTGTTCTCGAATAGTTCAATTTAAATATTTTAAATAGTTTCTTCTTTATTCTTTGTATTTTTTTTGCTTGCGACGACGGAAAGAGATAAACTTTCCGAAACGTTAAGCATTTTTTTCTTTGTTAGGCAAATTTGTATAACTGTAAACATAACTTCTGACAAGCAGTGTCCGTTTAGGTTTAACGCAGAAGTGTTTTCAAAAAATAACTATTATATTTTGTAGATTTTCTTGCAGTGCAGTGAAAAACCTAACCTGACAACCTGTATAGTCACTGCTAGGTCACAATTACCTTCGCTAGGCTGAATTTTAGGTGTGCTAATACCACTTGTGGCACTCTCCGTAGCCTCAGAGATCGTTCTCAATTTCTCTTGGAGAACTTCGAAACTACTGGTTATGTCGGTTTGTCCAACTTCAGGCGCACTTCGGTACCTACTTAGTCCGTATTCTTCTATTAATTCGTCTTCTAAAATAATAGTAAAAATATATGATAATTTAATGAAATATCATATACAGGCTGGTCCAAACTATATTCCGGAAACTTCGGCAGTATATTCTGCAGATAAAAATAAGTAAAAAAAATCGTATATATGTATGTCCTAAAATGCTTAGTTTCGAAGATACAGGGCTTTTTTTAAAAAAAAAATACATTTCCATGAATTTTTACGCAAAAATATCTCTTGGTAAAAATTGCTTGGGAACTTTTTATTTTTTTAAATTGATCAAAAATCATAAAATTTTTCTTTTTCGAAAAAATAATGATAAAACAGTTTCTGTTGAATTTTTGGCACAAAAACATTTCAAATTTATCATTTCAGTCTAACTATTTAGTCAACATGTTTAATTTATGTCAGTGATGACAGGTATTGATAATTTCGGTTCCAAATATCTCGAGAACCATTACTCGTAGCGGTTTTTAGCAAGAGACTTTTTTTTACGTAAAAAACGTCGTAAATGTATACTTTTTACTCAGTAGTTTTATACAGGTACGGACGAAAAGTTATTACTCTTCAAATCAGTTAAAAATATGTAGGTGGCGCCCTCTACAAGTAGGAATCATAATGGTATCGAAATCAAATTTCTCACATCAATTTTCGTCCAAATATTGACGTTACTTCAGAAATTATTTGGAAAAAATCGAAATAAAAATGAAACTTTCACTCCCTCTATCTCCGAAACTAAGCATTTTAGGGCATACATTTATACATTTTTTACTTATTTTTATCTACAGAATATGCTGCCGAAGTTTCCGGAATACAGTTCGGACCACCCTGTATATAGGATATTCCTTAATATATTTTTTTAATAAATAAGTGACAACCTGGCAATTTTCTCTTTACAACTGGTTTGAATATATCTTGGTTTCCGTATGTTGTCCAGGCAGCGCTAAAGGAACTCAGTTTCACGGAGGTCAATTCTAGACTAGTGTGGGGTTGTTTGAATGCATGACTAGGGCATGAGGGTCACAGGGGTAACGAAAAGGCAGATGAAATGGCCAAACAAGGCTCAGCAACTCCAATGATAGGCCCAGAACCCCTCTGCGACGTTGCAAAAGCACTCATAAGAATGGTCACAGGTCACACAACAGTGAGTGGTCAACAAATCTCTAGAGTGGTGGAGAAATTCATCTGAGCAGTGACAGGTGAAAAAGTTCATAGTAGAATCACAGATTAAGTATACTTACCACAGATTAGGTATCCTATAAGTATACAGATAAAAATCTTATCCCTAATTCGTGGTACGAAAATTGTTTTTTATGACGATGTGCAAACGAGTAAAATTTCCTGTGCGCAAAAATAAACTCGCGTAAAATAACAATAAACAGCGTAATAGAGAGATATCGCTAAACCGAATAGCGTGCATGGACGTTAATAAGGCCAGGTGTTATTTCCTTTACGTGAGGTGGTATTAACTCTCTTCATTTATAGTTATCGGATCGGAAAGAATTCTTTTCACGTCGCGTCCGCTATTTAAACTTAACCTAACTTTCAATTTAAAACTTTGAAATTGTTTTGTTTACTAGGTATTTTAAAACTAAAGGGCTAAAGTGCTTATTCCCAGTGCTTTATTGTTCAACGTCTGCCAGTCGATTTAGGGCAACAAGCAACAAATTCTCTTAGAAGGGCTAAGTCGTCATCTGCTGTAAACCTAAGCCTCTTTATAGGTTCTTTAATATTGGAAGAGGTGGAATCCATCTTTTTTTTTGGGCCATATTTATTTAATTAAAACTAATCCCAGCTACTTAAATATCAAATTACCTAATAAAACTAAAGTAATAATTCAAAACAATTCAAACATAACCTAAAATAAAAGATCTCGCCGGCCGGCCCCGGTTGTCAAATACCCGCACATGCCCATTTAAGCAATTTTTAAACGTTATTTAGAAATAGCGCTTGTGTAATTGATCCGCAAATTACGTCAGGCGGTAACGTTATTAGCGGGCGTTGCATTAAAAATTGACTCGCGCATATCGTAACCATGATAAGGTACGCGTAAATACTGCATGACGCTATTCGGTTTTCCGATATCTCTCTAATAACTGTGCCGGTCAGGCGCTGTGCACAGTTTTAGAGGCCATAAGTGGGCGTGCTATGTGCGCAAACTAGTAACCTAACTAGTGCCCGATTCCGAAAATTGGAACCACGAAAAACAATAAAGAAAAAACAAAGTTTATAATCTGTGGTAGAATATTTGGCAAAATTGGCGGTACCCTGATAAGCAAAGTCAGAAAGACTGTAAAAGCTGTAGTGGGTCTACTAACAGGACATTCTGCAAGCTTAATAAGCATCTAAAGGGAATGGGATAGACAGACGAAAGCATGTGCAGCTTTTATCAGTCTGAATAAGAAACCACAGAACACATTTTATGTCCATGCCACTTTTGGGACGCATCTGGTATAAGATGGAGGATTCAGTCTCCAAGTTGTTACACTTTTTGAAAAAAAAATATGACTGGAGAAGTTAACCTAGAAAAAAAATATTAAGGAATATCCTATATACAGGGTGGTCCGAACTGTATTCCGGAAACTTCGGCAGCATATTCTGTAGATAAAAATAAGTAAAAAATGCCGTATAAATGTATGTCCTAAAATGCTTAGTTTCGGAGATAGAGGGTGTAAAAGTTTCATTTTTATTTTGATTTTTTCCAAATAATTTCTGAAGTAACGTCAATATTTGGACGAAAATTGATGTCTGGGAGTTTTTTGACATGAGAAATTTGATTTCGATACCATTATGACTCCTACTTGTAGAGGGCGCCACCTACATCATTTTTTAACTGGTTTGAAGAGTAATAACTTTTCGTCCGTACCTGTATAAAACTACTGAGTAAAAAGTATACATTTACGACGTTTTTTACGTAAAAAAAGTCTCTTGCTAAAAACCGCTACGAGTAATGGTTCTCGAGATATTTGGAACCGAAATTATCAATACCTGTCATCACTGACATAAATTAAACATGTTGACCATAGATAAATGCAACAAGTTTAGATTGGAAAGCCCGTATAAATTTTGGATCGCGAAATTATTTTGGGTCGCGACCGTTATACGCGATTTGGCGCTGCTATAGCGGTCGCTAAGAACAACGGCAAACAAAAACAGAAATAATTTTTTCTTGTCAAAGTCAGAATCTTCAAAAATCATAATAATCTTTCAAAATCTAAACCGCTCTCATTAAAGAAATCCCGAAAAGTGTTTATAGCGTCCATTTTCAAAGTAATTATTGCTATCTTGTGAGTTTAATTCAAGTTTTATTTACTCCAACCGGTGATAATTGTGAAAAAGTGGCATTAAAAACTTAAAAAGCTGTGCTGTGAACTGTGACCTGCAAAAACCATCGTAGATCGTGGCATAACGTCGGTTTCCAATGTTTCATAGGTATTTCATACATGCGTCCTTATATAAAATAAAGTTTCTTGTATGCAACACACTGTATTTTATTTATAAAATTAAACGAAAATAATAATACTTTTGAATAACAATATTTGGCGATATAATTCCGGAAAAAGCCGAACCGCTCCGAAATTTTCAAAAGTTTTGGGTCGCGACCGTTGCAAGAATAGCGCCAAATAGTGTTTACATTGTCCTTATGGGCACTTTCCAATCTAAACTTGTTTCATTTATCTATGATGTTGACTAAATAGTTAGACTGAAATGATAAATTTGAAATGTTTTTGTGCCAAAAATTCAACAGAAACTGTTTTATCATTATTTTTTCGAAAAAGAAAAATTTTATGATTTTTGATCAATTTAAAAAAATAAAAAGTTCCCAAGCAATTTTTACCAAGAGATATTTTGCGTAAAAATTCATGGAAATATATTTTTTTTTTAAAAAAGCCCTGTATCTTCGAAACTAAGCATTTTAGGACATACATTTATACGGCATTTTTTACTTATTTTTATCTACAGAATTTAGTATAATCTATGGTAGAATATTTGGCAAAATTGGCGGTACCCTGATAAGCAGTCAGAAAGACTGTAAAAGCTGTAGTGGGTCTACTAACAGGACATTCTGCAAGCTTAATAAGCATCTAAAGGGAATGGGATAGACAGACGAAAGCATGTGCAGCTTTTATCAGTCTGAATAAGAAACCACAGAACACATTTTATGTCCATGCCACTTTTGAGACGCATCTGGTATAAGATGGAGGATTCAGTCTCCAAGTTGTTACACTTTTTGAAAAAAAATAGGACTGGAGAATTTAACCTAGAGATCAGAATAGTACCACAATAGATCTGAAAATGTCGCAGTGGAACAGGCCGATAGCCACCTAAAAAATCTAAACTAATCTTTTTTCATTTTGTCTAGTCCAGAGATTCCCAAACCTTTTTTTTCTTAGACCAATTTCAAAATTCTACTAGTTTCGGTAGAGGTCTGGTCAGAGGATTTTACTGGTTTCGAGGACTGGTGAAAAAATGAAAAAAAAATGATCTAACGATGGAAATTTGCCTCGTGGCGTAAACCTCTGGGATCTACCTGGAGCACTTTGGGAATCGCTGGCTAATCTATGTATATTATTCATCCTAAGTTCGTTACCTGCTTCATTTCTTCTAGTTCTGGGTCTTGTTTCGAAGTCCGGTACGCTGCCACAGTCCCCGGCTCTTCCTACAGAAGTTGGCGTTTTTTTTAGTTTATCTGGAGTAATACAAACGTCTATATGGTACTCCTCTTCGGACTCGACTGTTGTAGAGGGCGTCGCAGGTAATTTATCCTCGGACTCTGTATAATCCGGATGGGGCTTAATACTATCCGTTCTGTAAATTTTAACTAATTTCAAGGTTTTATAATATAATATTTTAATATCTAGTACAATGATGATGAACTTTTGAGCTTTGTGGCATTGGCGGCTTAACCATGAGGTCAAATGGTCAATATAAATCAATATTTAAATTTTTAATATCGAAAAAAAATGTTAGTTTCAGTTGCCGTAGCTTTGTCGTAGCCGAGAGTTTGAGATGCAGCGCGAAATTTGTGTAGGTAATAATTCATAATTTTCTGGTTCTGGAAAAATGATGTACTCTTGTTGACTGATTCGGGAATAGATATTTTCAAATAGACACATATCCCTAGCAGCATTTGGACGTCGGGACAACGTTGTGTCACGCGACCAAACGTCGGGGCGCAACGTCGGCACAACCTTGTGCCAACCCTAGTCTGCACTAGTTTGGAGAATAATTTTTGGGTCGAAACGACGTTGGATACCGACGTTGGCTAGCAGCCTAATTTAGTATAAACTGCAACGTTGTTTAAAATCCTAATTCACAGAAATACAAAACTATAATAATATGGCGTCTAAGTCGCGTTTTATCCCAAATTGGGATAATTAGAGTAAAAATATTATTTTTATGATTTAGTTAGAGACATATGTCAGATGGCAGCGAAGGAAAACAAAACAAAAGTATTTAAGTGTGGACGATGTTTGAAGATCATAATTATTGAAACACTTTAACCGACTCTGTAACTCATTACCCAAGGCAAAAAAGTTAAACGCAAACAACTTTATTGATAAATGTATTGTTTCTACTTTGAAAAATACTAATGGGCCTTAAAATTAAAGAAGTTTTAAAAAATTTCTTGAATTTTTTTTTAGTAAAACGAGAATAATTTATTCGCAGTCGAAAAAATTGTTTCCGCGTGTTGTTTAGGGTCAAATATTTCAAGTTAATGTATTCAAAAAGCAGGAATTGCTATTTTAGGAATGAAACATTTTCTTATTCAACAACATGGCGGCTTTCACTTTGTTGTTTTGGAGATTAGATGGAGTAGTTCGAGTAGTCGCATACTGGACTAATAAAGTCGCAGTTCAGCAAAAACAGGTAGTATACTAGTCGCAAGATTGCCTAATTTAGTCATCCTAGAGTCTAGCTTGTGCCGCCCTCTATAATCTAAATAAACGAGGGAGTGGATGAAGTATCGGTAATATGTCGATGTATATTTAAATTTAGTTTTATATGTACCTTTCTTATGTCCCATTTTAATTAAGTTTTTTTTTTATAAAAACAAAAACAGCACTGAACTGTCTGTTTAAAATAAAAAAATAAAAGAAAGTTTATATATTTTTTTTCTTGACATCTTGGTCCAGGCTAACTGTGCACCCGGTACAAGTACCTTGTAAGAAACCAATTAAATTTGGTCACGTCTTAAAAAAAAATCGACACAATATTTTTAGATATTGACCGCCCTACAATAATAACCACGAGCCGCCACTGCTCTGTGGTAGTGTTTTATTTTGTTTTCAATTTACCCTTTCACCAATTCGTCCGCTTGTTTTTTCAATTTCTTTATCGTATTTTCTATGTCAGTGCTGCTGCTCGTGTTTGGCGTCGTGGACGAGGTGTTGGCTTCCGCGTTTACCGGTTTTATAGTCCTGATTCTTCCCAATGCCTTTTTCACCCTGCTGATCAACACGTTGGCTTCCTGAATTTTACCTTTTATTACATCGTCTTCGAACAGTTGGTTTCTTGAGTGTGATTTGGATTTGAATAAATCTTTTTTGTTTTCGTCAGTTGAAGAATCTCTACAAAAGAGTATTGTTACTGGAAATGTGTATTTTGTCATTGAAACTGAAAGAATAGAAAAACAATCTACAGGGTTGTTCACCACATACGACACGGAGTATTGTAGCTAAACGATTAGGTTTTTGCAAATTGTAAGTTTTGGGTTCGTTGAAGGACTATTAGAGCTACAATTTAAAAATATTTTTACGAGATACAGAGTGTCCCAAATAAATAAAAAATATCAAAGTTGCATTTTTTTAAATGGAACACCCTGTATATTGTTATATTTTTAGTTTCTACGATTAAAATAAAGGTAAATTTGATTCAGGTTTACCGCATTTTAATCTTACCGTTTTTTGAAATATTTAGTTTTTTTTTGTCAAAATACAGTAATAATTTTAATACTTCATTTCTCTAAGTGTATTTAAGTTTTTAAAACCAAATATTGTACCGAAGTATTTCTATTTACTAAATTTTGTATTGCAATAATAAAAATTATACTACCTTATACAAAGTGTCTAAAAATTTATTTTAAATAATTACTAGCTTTAAACGGAAATAACTTGTTTAATTTAAATGGAACATCATGTATATTTTAGGAGAATCAGATGCACAATTTAATTGTCTATCAAATTGTATTATACCATTTTTTACCTATCTCTTCAAGTTTTCGTAGAAAATGCATTTTCTTATAATTTAGACCTTATTTATCAATATACCCATAGAATATTGACATTTTAGATTATTTTTAAAGATGTAACAAATTTTGTAACAAAAAAAAACTGAATTTTGTATGTGTATTAGACAATGTGGTAAAAAGTAACACCTTAAAAATTTTATTTTATTTTTTGATGAATGCTTATTATAACAAGAGAGACGTTCATTCTCATAACTTATTATTATATTGATTTCTGATTCAAATCCACATTTATTTAGGATAATTTATTAACTAACACATTTAAATATGTAATTAATTAATATTTGGGCGGAAATAATGGTGGTATATTTAATTAACGGTATACTTTTTCATAAAGATTTAAATAGTTTTCTTTTTGTATACAAATGGGCTGGTGATATCGTTTTTAGCACCTGTACATTTTGTACATTTGTTGCTTTAAAAACAATCTAAAATGTCAATATTCCATGGGTATATTGATAAATGAGGTCTAAACCTTTCTTGAAGTGGCGTAGCGCTACTACCGCAAACCCCCGCAGCTGCCTGGGGGGGCCGAAACCTCTGAGGTCCGGGAATAAAATAATATAAATATAGAATTATTCCCAAAATAAGGAATAGCGGAGGTGGCCGGGGGGGGGGCCTAATACAAGTTTCGCGGGGGGCCCGTAATTTGTCGCTACGCCACTGTTGAAGGGATAAGAAAAAAATTGGTATAATGCAATTTGATAGACAATTAAATTGTGCATCTGATTTTCCTAAAATATATAGAGTGTTCCATTTTAATTAAAGAAGTTATTTCCGTTTAAAGAGTTAGACACTCTGTATAAGGTAGTATTTTGTTTAATGCAACACAATATCTGATCAATAAATAAACTTCAGTAATTATTTAGTATTAAAAACTTTAATATCCTTGGAGAAATGAAGCCTTAAAATTTTTACTGCAATTTCATATAATTGAAATTATTCCAAAAACGGTAAGGTTTAAGTGTGATAAACCTTAATCAAATTTACCTTTATATCAATCGTAGAATCTAAAAATAGAATAATGTACAGGGTATTCAATTTTAAAAAATACAACTATAATATTACCTATTTACTTATTTGGGACACTCTGTATCTTGTGAAAATATTTTTAAATTGTAGCTCTAATAGTTCTTCAACGAACCAAAAACTGACATTTTGTAAAAATCTAATCGTTTAGCTACAATACTCCGTCTCGTATGTGGTGAACAACCCTGTAATTGCAATATTATGCTTAAATATATTTTGATGCCCTCTATGCTAATATTTGCATATTATAACTAAAAAATGGTGAATACGCTAGGTTTTAAAACCAAAATAAGGATCGGGGAACAGGTAACAAAAACAAATATAATTCCTGATTGTTACAGATTTTTTTCTCAATTTTATTTTCGACATCCATCACTAACAGCAAAAAGTATTGTACAAGCCTTATACAATTAATATATAATATATTAAACATATGATTTTTTAGTTGTTACAAATAAACAACTTATACGAAAAATATACAATTCTGACATTGTCAATACAAATTAAATGTACAACAGCGATCAATCTGTGCATTTATCACAAATTATTATTATTATTATCGTTTAAAAAGGGTTACTTTGCGCGTTCTACTTCGCAAAATACAATTATTATTCAAGTTTTTTTATTCTTTTTTACTAAAAAAACACGTACAATCTAACGGATTTGTTTCCTTTCTAGCACTGGGAACACTAAAATGTTCGATTATCTTAAAAAATAACTTTTACAAGGTCCCAAACAAAATGATTTCAACATTTCTAAAATGTTTATATAACTATATCTCGAGCGTGTGTGTATTTATTTCAAAAATACAAAAGTAATCACATCGAAGATACCAAGAAAAATACCTGGTATTCTACTTAAAAAATGTTCATACAATTTAAAACAATTCTTCGTTCTATATACAATACTATACAATGACAGTCCACGATATAACTGTTTATTTTTTGTCTGTTAAAATGTCAACTGGTTATATTTTCACAAAATTATGTCCAGGTCTAAAGATTTCGTTTTTTTTTGTTCAGTGTTACCTAAAAGTCTGTATCAAGCACAGAAACATTATTGTAGTGATCTGAAGTAGGTATATGACAAATATACAGAGAATGTTAAAAATGTCTTTTGTTTAGATATGAGGAATGCTACCATATTTTTTTAGAACTAATATTGTATGTTTTTATGGAATGGCGATATATACACTCAACTCAACTCAATTTTTGGTCAAGTTTTTTTTAAAATGTTATATTTTTATTATTTTTAACCCTATTTCCTCAATTTTTTTAGCAAACTGTATTAAAAACTTTAGTATTTTACTTATTACACATGGTTAATCGAAGAGTTGTTTTTTACCCTATCTTTAAAACACCCTGTGAAATAATTTCATGAGCAAATTGGCCTAAAACATTATCTTTCGGTCAGAACTATGTCTCCTGAATATTTTGTTCTTTGACTCGTGTTCAAAACATGCTAAAAATAAGAAAAGTATAAGACTTCAAACTTGACAAAACATTTTCCATTGCATTTTTTTGCATCTGACTGTAATTTACTGTCCCAAATAATTGGTTCTCCTTCAATGGCATTTATAAGATCCTCAATATTGCTATCAAGAATTCTCTCCATTACTAATAATTAAATAATACCTAAACTATCTTTCCACGAAAATAATCGATAACAAACCTAGGGTTGCCAACTTTCAGAATAAAAAATCGAGGACAAGAGGATAAAAAAGAGGCACAGGCAAAACATTTTTTGAAACCTCGCCCAATTATCTAGATTTTTTACCAAAAAAATAAGTGGTTGTAGAAAAACTTTAAATATTATTTTTTTTATTTTTTAACATCGAAACTGAAAGGTATTATTATACCTTTGAGTTTACCTGTTATTACAGGTATCATACCAACCATAAATAGAGTAGGTATATCATATAAAAATGTTTTGAGTTTTTACTAGAATCGACCCTTGATAAAAAAAGGGATTAGATTTAAGTTTACCTTTGATCCAGTCTGTATACTATTTCTTTGGATTTTCTGCACGTGTGAAAAAACTACACTAAAACACTATATCTTATAGAAAATAAAATATTGTGCCTTGAATTTGAGGGATTTCATCTGAAAAATTATTAATTTGGAAGAAAACCGGCAACAAGCGGCACAAAATAATAATATTTCCGTGCGTCTTCTGGTCGCAACGACCAACGGACGGCCAGGACGTTAGTGTGCGCTATCTCATTTGATTTAATGGTTTTAGAGGTAGGTGCGGCCTGGCCGGTGCGACCTGGTCGTCAGTGTCTTTGAGCCCTAAAATGGAGTATGTGGTCGAAAGAAGATACCATCACTTTGATTAATTATTATTTAATTAATTTTTATTTGAAAGATTTCCGAAATTGTGGCAAAAAAATCGAAAATTCACAGAGATGGAGCTAAAAAGCAAAAAGCAATCAAATTTATAACTGACAAATCAACACAACTGAGGCTGAGATTCAGCGCAAGCTACATAATATTCGTACCCAAGCAAACCAGGAGTGGAACAAAATTATAAAAAGAAAATGTAAAATCGACTTCTGACATTCGCAGAAAATTGTTCAAATGCTTTGGGTCTTCATTTCTTATTTTTTTAATAACATCGCGTAAGCTCCAAGACTAGGCCTTCTGGCAATCCATTATTTAACCCATATTCTTTTTCTAGATTTTCTGTTTGCGTAAAATTGCAACAAGAAGAGCAGTGGCTGCAGCTCTCTTTTTACAGCGCGACATTTTTCTACTAAACAATATACTTGTGCAATATACACCATACCGTGTATACGTGCATGCAATTTCTTGCTCAAAGCATATGCCTAGAAAGTACTTGTTGCAAGAAATTGCTTTAAAATTTGGTTAAATGTAAACACTATCGCAAGTTACTCTAGCAAGTTCTATCGCAATTTTCTATCCTGTGTAAACTACGCTTTAAAGGGGATAAGTATGCAGCGTCACTGGGAGGAAGCAGCACACAATAGAACGCAATGGAGGAGAATTGTAAACTCAGTTAACAACGACTACCAAAAAGTAAAGAGGCAACAAAGTAATGAGATTTTTGAATGTCCAGAGTGCGGAAGAGAGATAACATCACTTATCGGGCTTTTCAGTCACAGAAAAGCCCATGACAGGAAACGCCTTACGTAACCATCTTCAGATGCGTGTCAAATACTCCTCAGCGAGTAATGGCAGTAAGTAAGTAAGTGTATACGCAGATTTTAAACAAAGCTTTGCTAAATTTGAACGGCGAACACCGGTAGTGCTAGGCTTGGTGTAAAAGTACTCAAAGTTAAAACTCGTATCTAAACAAAGACATTTCTAACATCCCCGGTACATAGATGTAGTTCCAAACAAGTCCGGGTTTTTCTCTATAATAAACCGATACTGACACATCGGCCGGTTTATATATGCATTAATATTAAAAAATGTTTAAATACTCTTAAAAATATCAGCGAGTGTTGGAGTTCCTATCTGTCAAAGTCCCAACAGGACTTTGCGTTTTATTATTAGTTTTTTTTGACTAGTTCATATTTATTTCCCATTTTGTCTCCGCACAACGAAAAAAGAAAACAAAGAAACCGAAAAAGACAACTGTTTTTATTTAACTGTAATAAAAAATTATCAAATTCTGTAAAGAAAGAAAAATATTTAAAACTTTTTCGTTTGAAAAAAAAATAAATATAAGAAATTAAAAATAAAAACGCGGAATTAAATCCCAATGACGAAAAAAATAATGAATAACAAAATAAAACAACGAATAAACTTAAATATATAGATGATTTGTACATTTAGCATGCCGATCTATAATAGGGTATAGTACAAACGACGACAAATATATTTACAAGTCCGCCACAAAGAAAATAAAAAGTATTATATTAATTGTGTCACAATAAGTTTTTTTTCTCTAAAAATCTCTTAAATATCTTCTACGTTACTATGTACTATGTACAGGAAATTTTCGGCGAAACTGTATAGCCTTTCACAGTAAAAAGAGACAACAGAATAAAACAAGAAGATTCTTGTTTGTTTTTTTTAACGAAACTATTATATAAACTTCCACAGCCATGTTGGGATTATTTCTACTAACAAAATATTCTTTCTTTAACGCTTTTCCTCTCTTCTCGTTCCGTTTCCGTTCGATAAAAATGTCGAGCAATCGCCATATTATTTGTTCCTTCTCCTTAATGGTTCTGACAACGACGCTTTCGGCCATTTCCACAAAATTTTACGGGTTTTTCCTCCAAATTCGACGATACGGCCCTTTACGATTCCCTTTCCTTCTTCACTTTGTATTCTTCGCCTAGGATTGTGGCGATTTCGCCCTGCATGAAGGCCCAGGGTACGTTGGAGTTGGCCAGCGGGCATTTCTCACCGCTCGGACAGTACACCTGTAACAATAAAGTATGTTTAAATACATCATAAGTAAACAAAATGCTGAATAGTGCTTTCAAAAGTAGTAGACAAAATAACCAATAATTATAATTAGTATTACGCTTAATAGTCGAATTCGGGCAATGCCCGAGAAAAATACGTAAATCTAGTTTTGAGCAAGGAATATTTCCCAAACCCGAAAAATTAATTTTATTCGATTATTTTTTTTGCTTATAGTGTGATTTAATTGCATTGGTTTCATTCTTTTTGGTTGGATTGGTTTATTACAGTTGAGGGTTGGAATCTTTGATGTTACACAGCAAAATAAAAACACTGAATCACCACAATACACCAAAACACTTTTATTTTTACACTGGACGCGCGTTTCGCTAACCATGTTAGCATCATCAGCAGATGATTATAAACTAAAGTACAATCTACAAGTTGAGCGTTTATATACTCGCTCAGTGGGCACCGAGTGGGCGTGGCAAAATCTAGCCAACCGAGTCAGGGCCCACTGAGCGTAACTGTTAGATTTCCGCCACTAGAGTAGTAGGAACAAAGAACTTGAAGGAATTGGACCGTTGTCTCTGTTCATACTATCTTTACATTTATTAATTCTGATGCTTTCATATGCATCTAATTGCCTGTAATTTGAGACTTGTTTAATTAATTTTAAATTATTAAGATCTATACAATGTTCTTTATCAACAATATGTTCGGCAACGCAAGATTTATCCGGTCTACCATATGTTATCTGAGCTAAATGTTCTTTAAATCTAGTTAATATTGATCTTCTAGTTTGCCCAACATATTTCTAATTACAATCTTTACAAAAAATTTCATAAATACCCGACCTGTCCAGTGGAGGTGTTTTATCCTTTGGATTACCTAATAATTGTTGTAATTTATTATTAGCACTATACACAAGTTTATAATTGACATTCTTAAAAATTCCTTTTAGACCACGGGATAACTCTCTATCAAACGGTATCGAAAAATATTTAGACGTATCTTTCTCCACTTGAAAAGTCGAATTTTCAGAAATCATTAACCTATACCTACGTTTTCTAATTAATTTATCAACTAGTGAAGGAGAATATCCATTACACTCAGCTACATTCCTAATGTAATCTCTTTCTTTTTTTTAAGAATGTCAATTTTAAACTTGTGTATAGTGCTAATAATAAATTACAACAATTATTAGGTAATCCAAAGGATAAAACACCTCCACTGGAAAGGTCCGGTATTTATGAAATTTCTTGTAAAGATTGTAATCAGAAATATGTTGGGCAAACTAGAAAATCAATATTAACTAATTTAAAGAACATTTAGCTCAGATAAAATATGGTAGACCGGATAAATCTTGCGATGCCGAACATATTGTTGATAAAGAACATTGTATAGATCTTAATAATTTAAAATTAATTAAACAAGTCTCAAATTACAGGCAATTAGATGCATATGAAAGCATCAGAATTAATAAATGTAAAGATAGTATGAACAGAGACAACGGTCCAATTCCTTCAAGTTCTTTGTTCCTACTACTCTAGTGGCGGAAATCTAACTGTTACGCTCAGTGGGCTCTGACTCGGTTGGCTAGATTTTGCCACGCCCACTCGGTGCCCACTGAGCGAGTATATAAACGCTCAACTTGTAGATTGTACTTTAGTTTATAATCATCTGTTGATGATGCTAACATGGTGGGACGCGAAACGCGCGTCCAGTGTAAAAGTAAAAGTGTTTTTGTGTATTGTGGTGATTTACTGTTTTTATTTTGCTGGATTGGTTTAGTTATTTGGCGAGTTGGTTAGCGTGGTTATTTGGAGGGTGTTAATTCATTGGTTAAGTAGTTGGTTTTTCGGGTTTGGGCTTTCCTTGCTCAAAAGTAGATTTTTCGGGCATTGCCCGAATTCGACTATTGAGCGTAACATATACATATAAGGCAATGTGCATAATTTAAAATTATTTTGAAATGTACAGGATATGTCAGAACTAAGATCCACACCAAAGTTATATTTTTTCTTATGAAACACCCGGTACTTTATATCATATTTGGATCCTTGGACACTATTTTTGGTACCCCTGTATAAATTTAACAAAGCAATAACATTTTTCAGTTAAAATAATCCTTTATCTTTAATTTCCTTCTTCATTTGTGTAAAAATACCTAGCCAGTTTTACATTAAACGCCGAACGCTTATTTTGCTATGGACTGTAAGACTTTAATTAGTAATTTATTTTATTTTTTTTATTAAATCAATGCGTTTATTGTCAAAAAATGTTACAATTTGTAGACAAAGGTAAAGTAAACAAACACACATGCTTACGTATTAGGCAAACGGATTCAATTATAAATAAGGAAGGAAGATTTATTATTTTTAATTTTTTTAAAAAAGTCCTGGCAATGAGTTCTGCTGTTTACTCCCAGTGAATATCGAACAGCTCTCTTCTGGAGCTTGAAAATGCGGTCAAATTGAGTCGCACAACACATATACATATTAATATTAATTTTTTTCTTACCTCAGATCCAGCACCCTGTCTCTTGATGCTCTCCCTGCTGCACGGGAAGCAGAACTTGTGATGGGGCACGCTGGGGCACTGCACGAAGTGCGTATCCTCCAACCTCTCCTGGCACAGGGTGCATTTAAGCGTGGCAGTGGCAGCGGGAGCGGCCGCGGTGGCTACGTTCTCTCCGGTGCCGGCCAGGGCTTCGTTGCCGCCGCCACTGGTCATGGCCCCGGCCTCCGTCGACGTCACTGTCGTGGAGCTGACGTGGCGCGAGCCGCTGGACCTGCGACTGCTCGTCGAACCGGCTGAAATAAATGGAAGCGATAAGTTGATTGGTTTTCTTCAGATAAGTATACAGGGTGAGTTTTCTATGATGTTTTCTATGGGTATCTCGGAAACTACTGGAGATAGAGAGTCGGTTAAATGAGGAAACAATTGCAGTTTTGTGGGGTCATAAATATGCGCCTTCCAGATTTTTGAAAAAGTTCATGGCTTACTAGATATTTCGAAAAAAAAACAAATTTCGGCTATTTTAAAAATTGTCCCTAATTCCATTATGACCTATTTTAGACAGAAAATTGTCAGATAAAAGTTGTAGATAATCACATCCTTAATGAGATTGTGTTCTCCGTTTTTTCCTAAAGCCTGTCATTTTTTACATATGACACAAACATATGTTTTTTTTAAACGGAAACCATAGTTGGCCATGACTTCATAAAAAGCGCCATATTTTAAGCTTTTCAGCGATATGAGCTATAATATGTTTTTTTTTCCGAAAAATTACTGAATTATAGCCAATTCGTATCATTTTTAAATAATTTCACTTAATTAGCCATGGAAACAAGTTCAATTGTCGTTGCTCTCAGAAATGTCAAACTGTCAGATCCAAACTTGTAAATTAAAATAAACAAAAATTGTAAATATGAATTCCTCAAATGAATAAAAGCGTGTAGGATATTGGTTCAACTTTCTTGTTTACTCAATATGTTTATTTTTTGTCAATAATGACATGTATTGACTGTTCCCATTCTAAATATCTTGAGAACGGTTGCTAGTAACGATTTTTACTAAGAGAGATTTTTTACGTAAAAAATCACGGAAATATATACTTTTTCACTCGGTAGTTTTATACAGATACGGACGAAAAATTATTACTCTTCAAAACTAGGAGTCACATTGACATCAAAATCAAATTTCTCATGTCAAAAAATTCCCAGACACCAATTTTCATCCAAATATTGACGTTACTTCAGAAATTGACCGCTTTGGAAACAATCGAAATAAAAATGAAACTTCTGCACCCTGTATCTCCGAAACTATGCGTTTTAAGACATACACTTATACGAACTTTTTTACTTATTTTTATCTGCAGAATATGCTGCCGAAGTTTCCGGAATACATTTCGGACCACCCTGTATAGTGGGGCTAGTATTAGCAAATTTAAAAGTCAGACAGTCATTTCCATAGACTTAAAATAAAATATAGACTGAGCATCTCATTCATAAATAGCTGGAACATGCGGTCAGACACTGTCTTGTTATTGTTGTGTTATTGTTTTAGGTTATAACGAGTGCGACACGAGCGATAGATAGGTTGTCTCTGTCGTAACGGTCGTTCCCTGACGACTCTGCCGAGAAACACAACACTGTCTTTCGTTTCTCAAGTACACCTGAACTCTCCGTATCATAGCCGGGTAATTTTTTTTTAATGAAGCTATAATTAAATTAAAATATATCGTATTTAAACTTTTTTTATATTTTATTAAGATTTAGGACAGGTTTTTAAATAAAAGTTTAGAAAAAACAATTTAGAGTCCAAAAGGATAAAAATAATAAAATACATGTTATAGAAGAAATTTTATAATCGAAATTAGGTAATTTTTGAAATTAATAATAAATTATTAATTTTAGTCAAACATTTACAACCCCTAATATTAATCAAAACAGGATCTATTCCACAGATATAATAGAATCGGCGACAGGGAGAAAAAAAATATATTGATTGTAATTTTTTTCTGGTGTGTGTGTTTTTCTGGTATATGTGTATCTAAAGTGATGTCTTATTATGTAAATTAGAGAAAACATAAATCTGTTCCATTAAAGCAAGGAAGGTGATAGGAAGTGGATAAAATAAAAACTACATTTATTTAACTCGGTACTGTCTTTATTATACCGGGTGCGTCTCAAAAGTGGCTCATCCCCCATAATTTTTTTATATTTTCAAAAAAAAACAAGATTTAGTATATTAGTATATGAAATAAATTAGGATTGATTGACGCATTCAATTGTTTTTGGTCACTTCCTGTTTCACCGGAAATGACTATAACTTTTAATTTTTAAACGGCACCCTCGGTATATTTCTACTTTATTCGATAGAAAATGACACTCTGAATAGAATGACATATCATATGTCAACTTTTGACATTTTCGCATATGGTTTAATTGTAATTGTAACACGCGGTTCATAACGACAATTTGACTCGAAATACCAAGTGTGTGGTATCAATATATTCATAAAAAATGCTTTTTCCAAATATGCTAATGAGTCACCCTTGTTCCATTTGAAAAAATTGACATATGTATGATTAAAAATACGATTTGTACATCTTTTAACCGGCCTAGACAAGACACGAAACCTATTAGACGATCAAAACTATTTTTCCAAGGCTCCTTGATTAAAACTTAGTGGATTGAAAAAAACTGGATTGAAATTAAAAATAGGATATGTTTTTAAGCGACAATGTCAAAAGTTGACATATGATATGTCATTCTATTCAGAGTGTCATTTTTTATCGAATAAAGTAGCAATATACCGAGGGTGCCTTTAAAAATAAAAAGATGTAATCATTTCGGTAAAACAGGAAGAGACCAAAAACAATTGAATACGTCAATAAATCCTAATTTATGTCATATACCTACTAACATACAAATCTGTTTTTTTTATCTGAAAAAATAAAAAAGTTATAGGGGTGAGCCATTTTTGAGACGACCCGGTATATTAAAAAATATTGTTTCATAATGTAATATCATTTTAAAATTCTTGTATGTTATTTTAGATTCTGAAGATAATTTTAGAATAAACCGGAATATATTTTTAATAAAAACATTATTAATTATTAACAGGGTTATAATTATGATTTTGTTACAATGTAAGTAAGTAAATAATGTAATGTAAAAGAAAAAATTCAGATTTTACATTTTACTAAAATATTATCTAAATAAGCGCCTTTCTACAACAACGCCACTGACTGCCAATGGGTAAATTGAGAGTTGCCTACCGGTCAAAAGTCGTTTCAAGACTTAAATGGATTATTTAAGTCAAATTTCTTGCAAATTTGGCACTGGCGAACCATATTTTATAGTTTTTGAACACAAAAAGTCAATAAAATAAACACTTAAGGACTACAAGCTAAGAAAATGCGTTAATACAGCCAGGGAGATAGCGGCAACAAAGCTTTACAGCACACGTGCGACACGTACTACAAGGTAATAAATGAATGAATAGGCTCCCTCGCCTCTAATCGGTGTTGTCATATTGTAAAGAACTTATCCTTATTAAACAGTATCCGACTTATAATTTAGTAGTATAAGGACTATTTAATACATCTATGGAATATTAAAACCTACTTTATTAAACTGTAGTATTAATATCCAATATATGTGTATAACAAGAAAAAAAATATTGATAATATTAAAGACGTGACAACATAGGCTGGACGAGGAAGGCTCGGTCGACTGTACCCAGAAGTAAACATGTGTACAAAAAAGGTTGTTTGTCCGCGTTGAGATGTAAATAGTGTAGTCTATATTTTATTTTAAGTCTATGGTCATTTCATATTGAAAGTAATAAATTCTATAAAGGAAATTCTTTCAACGTTTATTTTTGAAGGTCATTGTGACGTATACGTCTTTAGCACGTAACACAAACAATCGAATTTTTAAAGGCGTGTGTGTGTGTGAATATGCATGTTATTATGTATGGACGAACCGTCCATTCAATCAAAAGCAGGATGTATAATAAATAATTCAAAAAAGGAACCTATAAATTTCATACCGTACGAAGAATTGAATAAAACTATATCAGAATTATATTAAGACACCGTGAGTTATAGTATAATCCATTCTTTATTTGGAGGATATCTAGAAAAACAATATTCCAATTTAAATAAATCTATATTTTTAGTTCTATTGTGCTTTTTCATCCTTTTTTACACATTTTCAATACCAGCAAAATTTAGTCAATTGATCATTTATATAGAAATTTGTGTAGAACCACCTCCAATTAGAATTTCTGTCTTGTAGGTACAATCAGGTTGACAGGGCCATTCAAACACAGAACCGGACAACTCATAAAAGTCAGTATACATGGTATATGGTATAACCAATACACGCTGAGATTACATGTACTAGGTTGGAGTTGTTTGGGAAACCATGCTAGACTTATCAGGCTTGAGGGTAAATTTTAAAATTTTAGTGTGTGTTAATCTGTAGTGTTCGGGTCGCTCTCAGGGGTTTAAAAGCGGTTTTCTCTACAATTTTCTGTCTCACAATGTACCGTTTGTGTCCAGGAAGGGTTCATAGTTTCATAGTTGTCGATTTTCGAAAGAAATCAGTACATGTATATTATTTCGTATATATTTCATTTTATTGATTTTATGGAACGAACTGTTCATTAAAGTGTTGTAGCCTATGTTATAGGGCTTTTTTTCTCTACAATTTCCTGTCTTACAATGTACCGTTTGTGTCGGGGAAGGGATCATAGTTTCATAGTTGTCGATTTTCGAAAGAAATTAGTACATGTATATTATTTCGTATATTTTTCATTTTATTGATTTTATGGAAAGCACTGTTCATGAAAATGTTGTATCCTATGTTATAGCGCTTGTTTCTCTCTACAATTTCCTGTCTCATAATGTACCGTTTGTGTCCAGGACGGTATCATAGTTTCATAGTTGTCGATTTTCGAAAGAAATCACTACATGTATACTATTTCGTATATTTTTCATTTTATTGATTTTATGGAAAGCACTGTTCATTAAAATGTTGTATCCTATATTATAGGGCTTGTTTCTCTCTACAATTTCCTGTCTCATAATGTACCGTTTGTGTCCAGGACGGTATCATAGTTTCATAGTTGTCGATTTTCGAAAGAAATCAGTACATGTATACTATTTCGTATATTTTTCATTTTATTGGTTTTATGGAAAGCACTGTTCATTAAAGTGTTGTATCATATGTTATAGGGCTTTTTTCTCTACAATTTCCTGTCTCATAATGTACCGTTTGTGTCCAGGACGGTATCATAGTTTCATAGTTGTCGATTTTCGAAAGAAATCAGTACATGTATATTATTTCGTATATTTTTCATTTTATTGATTTTATGGAAAGAATTGTTCATTAAAGTGTTGTTTGTGTCCAGGAAGGTATCATAGTAAATATATATTATATTTCAGAAATCTTCCTAAGCCTTAGCCCGATCCTGTCGTGTTAAGCCCCACCCAAAATTCCAAACACACGTGCTTTGATTAAGGCTTGATTAAGGTGTGCAAAGCTTCAGCATTTGCCATAAAATAGCGAGCAATTTGTTACAAAACCTTATAAATTATATATCACTGTAATCACAAAACTTCAATCTATTTCCGTATTGTAACGGAATTTTAAATTATGTCTTTATTTTCGAGAAAATTTAGTCCAAACATGAGGAATATTTTGTTGATTGACCATCAAAATCTTAAAAATAAAGGAGTTGTCTAAAAATGTGCTACAATACGGATATAGTATAATCCTTTATCTTTAATTTCCTTCCTAATTTGTGTAAAAATACCAAGCCAGTTTTACATAAAGCATTAAATCCCGAACGCTTATTTTGCTACTTTTTCGGACTAGTGAAATAGACTCTTAAGGTTTGTAGAACTGAGGTAGTAAACTGACTTAGTAAATACGAAAGGAACAAGATTTTTTTCTCGCATTCTCAGTCTTCAAACATATTTTATGTACGGTACATTCAAGTTTCAAGTTGAATTAATTTTCTCCACTGATATAAAAAAGTAACAGTTAAAAACATCTATTAAAACGTTTCGTTTTCAAAAACAACACCGCAATAGAACCGTTATTATTCTTAAAGAACGCCGTTTTATTTATTTATTATTACGGTACAACGTTCGATATAAATTCTAGCGACTCTTGCTTTCGTAGAGAGACAGGAGAGAGAAAAAGAAACCGCTCCAACTGGTCCGGTTCTTGTTAGCTGTATTAGGCATTGCGGAATGCGAAGGAAAATAACTGTTCAGTCTCAGTGGCCAGACGAGATTTCTCAACTTGTAACGGTTGCCAGGCGAACACAAGCGTCTTGCTGAAGAGGTAGAAGCAATTATCCAATGCAGGGTCTTCCAATACAGAGCTGAAGTTCTAGTCTGTCCGACGAAATATACAGGCAAAATCACCCAACAAAATCTGTGTTAATTTGTTCTTTTTTTGTGACCAACAAATCTCTAGAATGGTGGAGAAATTCACCAGGGCAGAGAGATCTGATAAGCAGACAGTCAAAGCTGTAGTGGGTCTACTAACATTGTAAGCTTAATAGTTATCTACAGCTGATGGGATTGACGCACGAAGTCATGTGCAGATTTTGACAATTTGAAGAAGAAACCATAGTATATACAACATAGTAGTACTACAGATTATACAGATTATAAACTTTGTTTTTTCTTTATTGTTTTTCGCGGTTCCAATTTTCGGAATCGGGCACTAGTTAGGTTACTAGTTTGCGCACATAGCACGCCCACTTATGGCCTCTAAAACTGTGCACAGCGCCTGACCGGCACAGTTATTAGAGAGATATTGGAAAACCGAATAGTGCCTTGCAGTATTTACGCGTACCTTATCATGGTGAAAAATTGACTCGCGCATATCGCGAGTCAATTTTTAACGTAACACTGGCTAATAACGTTACCGCCTGACGTAATTTGCGGATCAATTACACCAAGCGCTATTTCTAAATAACGTTTAAAAACTTTCGGGGCCGGCCGGCGCGATCTTTTATTTTAGGTTATGTTTGAATTGTTTTGAATTATTACTTATTAGGTAATTTGATATTTAAGTACCTGGGATTAGATTGAATTAAATAAATATGGCCCAAAATATGGATTCCACCTCTTCCAATATTAAAGAACCTATAAAGAGGCTTAGGTTTACAGCAGATGACGACTTAGCCCTTCTAAGAGAATTTGTTGCCTGTTACCCTAAATCCACTGGCAGACGTTGAACAATAAAGCACTGGAAATAAGCACTTTAGCCCTTTAGTTTTAAAATACCTAGTAAACAAAACAATTTCAAAGTTTTAAATTCAAAGTTAGGTTAAGTTTAAATAGCGGACGCGACGCGAACAGAATTCTTTCCGATCTGATAACTATACATGAAGAGAGTTAATACCACCTCCCCTAAAGGAAATAACACCTGGCCTTATTAACGTCCATGCACGCTATTCGGTTTAGCGATATCTCTCTAGTACGCTGTTTATTGTTATTTTACGCGAGTTTACTTTTGCGCACAGGAAATTTTACTCGTTTGCACATCGTAAAAAACATAAAAACAATTTTCGTACCACGAATTAGGGACAATATTTTTATCTATATACTTATACGATACCTAATCTGTGGTAGTACATATTAGAAGTACATTACACGGAGACAGTTACTTTGACAAAAATGGATATTAACAGAATACATGTAATGCAACAGAAAATGGAAAGGTCCGTGTTGGGAGTTAATCTTAGGGATAAAATACCTAATGATACCATAAGAAATCGAACAGGAGTAAAACTTGATTCTCATTCATCCGTGATCCGATGGTACGATAATAATTTTATTGGTTGAATTTAAAGACTTCGATTGGTTAGAAATTTACGCAGTTTTTAAATTTATTGCATTTTCATGCCTTCGTTTATCGAATGTATGATTTGCTTGTGATTGGTGTCATTTTATATTTTTATTTCCATAGCGATTTAGCTGTTTTGCTTATAGTCTAAGAACTAGCACCGTTTTCGAGAGAGAATTTTAAGAAAGCTGGTTCTTTAATATATTTTTTGCTATGCTCTCCTGAACAGAGAGCGGACCGTCTGGCTGCCGGTAGACGTTGCGTTCACTACTGCGCATCATATCTATTCAACATCTGTTCATTACTGCGCATCACAAATTCGCCATGTATTTCAGTAACTAAGGAGGTTAGAACAAACCTCTGTGAAAAATATTTGGTTTCGTAAAAAAGTAGCAAAGTAATGTGGAAATTGCATCATTGTATCTCTACTCATAAACGAGAAATCCCATAAAACACACGAAAATGGGATACCCTGTAGATGTGATGCGCAGTAGTGAACCGCAGAAGTCTACCCGCAGACAGACGGCCCGCACTTTGATCAGAAGAGCACAGGAAAACATAGCGAACCAGCTTTCTTAAAATTCTCGTTTTCCCGACGTTGCTATTTCTTGTACTATTAAATTTTTATTAAGGTTAGATTAAATTTGTCAAAAAAGTGTCAAAACGTTCGTTATCGTACGATCTTTCGCCGTTGACGGGCTGGACTAAAAAAAATTACGGATGAAAAGTGACGGGAAAACGCTATGACCAATCAGAGCGCCGTCGCGTCGGACCATCATATCAACGGAAAAAGGACGCATGAAAATCAACCTTAAGGGATGCGGTGATCTTCTATCTCAAAAAAAATCATCTATCTCAAAGATCTATCTACCATCAACCATCTTAAATGGAACTGGGCACGACATGTGGCTAGGATGACAGCTGGACGGTCGACAAAGACACTTGCTGAATGGAGACCAAGACACGAGGCCTATAGAAGCAGACCTCCTAGCCGATGGACAGTGGACAGATGATATAAAAAAGAGTGGCTGGAAATTGAATTCAAGTGGCACAAAATAGAAAGACATGGTTAGAGTTAAGGGAGACTTTTGTTCATCAATGGACAAGCTAAGCTAAATGATAATGATGATGATGATGATAATGACGATTTACCTGTGGAGTTAGGCGAGTGTTGACTACCCCTGCTAGCGCTTCTCGGGGCGGCGTTTCCCGGAGGACTACCCCCTGTAGACCTGGGACTCCCCGGAGGCAAGTTATCAGCAACGGACATGAGCGCGGCCATCGGGTTCTGACCGGTAGTTCCCTGGGGCTGGGTTTGTGGTGCTCCCGGAACGGAAGTGTTTACATCTGGCGGTGAACTCGTTCTGTTCAGTGGAGAGCTGCTGGAACCGTTGGCCGAAGCGATTGACACTGGTACTGAAAAAGAAAAAAAGAAATTAATATAAGCACTATTAAATTATTGGTAAATAGATTACTAAATAAAAATACTACCGAGCAATGAAAAATAAGTGAAATAGTTGACAATAGTAGATTCGTGAGTCATAAGTTTTGAGTACCTGCAGGTGCTTAAAGTTTTCCATCTACTAAAGCTTTACTATCAAATAATATATTTATGTGACCTTCATCATTAAAAATAACACAAGTTAACGATAAGTTTATTTGAATTTTGTCCTCGATAACTAATAAATACTTTGTTATTCTGTATTGCAAAAATACGCATTGCAAATATCGTAATATTTAACAGTAAACAACAAATGAAAAATTTGCCGTCTAGCGAAATTAAAAATTTAAGTAACAATAAACTTGAGAATTTTTTTTATATTCCGTTTTGTTTTTGTTATAAGCGGTATATTTTTAGCAATAAAAATATTTTATCCTTGTAATAAAAAATCGAAAATTGCAAATTCTTGCTTTAAAAACTAGACGTTTATATGTGGTAGCACGATCGAAAAATAAACTTAGGAATTTGTTAGTCACAATTTTTATGGCGCGCCATATAATTGCAATTATTTCTAACTAACCCTAAAATCGTCCAACGCAGTATTACCAGTTATTTCAATCGTTGATTACAATCTTATATGAAGTTTCTGCATCTTAATGTAAATTTAACGCTCAATAAAGCGAAAAAACTATTCTCCAAAAATACTAATTCAGAACTTCCTTACAGACTTCCGGAATTTCCGCCCGACCCGGCAACGCCGCTCGAATCTCCACGCACTATCCGGCAACGCTGCCTTTCGAGTGACGCCACTTCCGCTGCCGCTATCAAAGAAAAAAGCGCACCGCAAACGTCAGTAGCGGCGGTGGCGAACGGCCTCGGCCTCCCGCGTTCCCCCTCACCGAACACTGTCGACCGCGCCCGAACGCCGGCGTGCAACGGACCGCTGTTACGTCACGCCGACGCCGCCGCAACGAAACGGGGTCACGTGACCGCCATGACCTCTCTCTCGCGGCGGCGGCGGCCATGTTGGCGGTCGTTTGCGAAAAAAGCCGCGGCGCGGTTGGCGGGAGCGGAAGGAGGAAAAACAAAAATTATGTCTGCCATGGCGCGGCGTTGCCGGATGGCGTGGGATTTAAGCAATATCAGGAATTACAATAAACCGTGTCCTAGGTTGTAATGGTCTGTATATGATGAGAAATATCTCTTATGGGATATTTTATTTGAAAAAGTGGTCACAAAAATGGGAAGAATAAGGGTTCACCGAATAACCACAGTGGCGCTAATGACGCATAAATCTAAAAAATAAAAAGTAACCATAGATAAGAGAATAAAAGTAACATAACCAAACATTACCCAAAAAATTGTAGTAAAGAAGATGGGAGTTTCTCAACACCTTATCCAGCTGATTCGAGGTCTGTACGAAAACAGTAGAGGAAAACACACTTAACACCTACTATCTGATTACTATCACTTTAATACTAGATTTTGACAAAATATTAGATTTTGTACCAAAATAATACAGATACAGACAGATACGTTAAGATATGTTAGGAACTTTACTTAAATGCAATTTGGCAACACGTAGCTAACCAAACGAAGCCACGAAGAACTGGCAACGTTGCGTAACAAGAAAGTTGCCTTGGTGGGTCGTTCTTGCAACCGTTCTGTCTCGTCGCTAACAGGAGATGTGGAAAACGTCTCATCTATGACGTCACTTCATTGTGTAACACAAATTGACCAAGAACAATTTTTTGACGTTGTGTTTTTGTTATGGTGTTTATTTTTGTTGCTCAAGATTAATTTTAACAAAACGAGAATTTTAACAGCATTCGCAGATTTAACACCATTCTCTAGAAATATTAGTCTGATTGATCTACTAGTCGTTCTACTCTGGTTTAACAACTTTTAATGCTTGTGTCTTTTGATTTAATTCCTGGTTCATAAATATGTTTTTTCCATAACAACTGTTAAAATTGCCTTATATCTATCAAAAATAGTAGATTAAATGATACTTTAACAGCGAGGATAGGTTAAAAACTTTATTTCTTCTCGCACGTTTTTTAATTGCTTCCATTTTTGAAAATTTTTGTATTCCTTTTCATAAGTTATTCGGGATTTAAATGGAAGTAGTTTGGATATGGCGTTTGTCGCCTCAGCCTGAATATCTGTTGGTAATTTACTTATTTCGTTTTGAGCCATTTCTGGCTCCAATTCAATCAGCAATCGACACGAAAGAGAATTAAAAAATATTGACTCAAAACTGACAACTAAAGAGACAGCTTTATTTATTATTTGCCAAACTACCTAGCCAACAAAACTCATCAATCTTCGAAATTTTTAAAACTTTTTTGATGGCATCTTGGTGAACATGCCAAGGAGGGGGCAACTTTGCCCCAATTGAACCATTTTCGTATCTATTACGGTTATGACTATTTATAAGACTCTAACTAAATAAGGTAAATACCTAATATAATTTTGATTTAACTACAGTTTTTGTATTTTTAATATTTTTTTTAAAGCGTCTGAAAAAATATATTTTTTTACATTTATTTATTAATATCTCTGAAACTATCAGAACATATCAAAAAACATCTTAGGACTATGTAAAGTGATCAGAAAGGAATGTAAAAATGCAATAATATACAGGGTGTTTTGATTGGTTTTCAACCAACAGTACGCTGTTCGCACAGAAAATTCTGATTGTTAGCTGACAGTCAGACCTGTTCGCGGATCTTTTGCAAATAAGTGTCCGGCGCATGCGTATTGCGACCCGACGTCATTAATTGGTAAACTTAACGTACAGCTGCTTCCAATAAAATTGAGTACGATTTGAAACATATTTTTATTATTTCGGGCAGTATATTCTATGATACCAGTCCCCCATTTCTCTGCTCATGTCATGCTGACGTTCTGAAAAATATATTTAACACTTTGTCAAAAGCAAAATTGTTTTATACAATGTCACAATAACCTTAACAAGTCAAAATACGTGACACATAAATATACACTGCTCAAATATTCGAATAAAATGTGTCAAGAGTCGTATTCATTTTTTTTGGAACCAGCTGTACAAAACGTGTGTTGTATTTGTTTAGTGTTTTATCTTCGAAAAATAAAAAAAAATGAGCGATAATAAAGAAAAAAAAATTCATAATCTTTTCGGTCGATATATAAAAAAATAACTATTAAATATACGAGCTTGGATAAATGTCGGAAAAATTCACAAGCTCAAAGAGAGGCAAAATAGTTCATTAAAAAAAATTACGGTAGACCTGATAATGATAGGAAACTGTTACACCTGTCTTGGGTCTACTAACAAGGCGTTGCAATCATCACAATAGGCATTTAAAGCTAATGGAATGTTAGAAGAAAAAAAAACGGTAAAACAATTATATGTCCTACGATAGCCTGGCGAATTTGCGTTTTTTTGGATATTAGACGATAATAATCCATTGGCAGAAAGCTTTTTGGAAAAGATAGGATGGGAGAATGTAACGTAAAAATCAGAAAATAACTTTCTAGAATAGGCCAATCGCATCGTCCCAATAGCTACAAGTTGGGTCTACAATTATAACTGTTCAATGAAATATTCATCCTTCGAATGATTTTAATAATTATGTACATTATATTGCCCTATCTTATTGACCCTTATTAACTTGATAACTGTTTTTAACAAATAAATATGCACATTGAAAAAGAATGTGAAATGGAAAACTGTTCTATTTTACTTCAATTTAACATTTAGTTAAACAATGTTCCTTGGGAGTAAAGCAATGAAAATTGGACCACATTCCTGACTATATTTAATACCAACGTCACAATTACCTCTCTCTGAACGAACAAAACTAAACGAGATAAAGCAGCCACAGTCGATTGGGTCAACAATAGAGAGACCTTCGTGGAACCGTAGCATGGCTATGACCTTTGAAACAAGAAAGAGTCAGCCGTTTGTCTGACTTTGTTACAAGCGTTTAAAGTCAGTCAGTCGAGGCAAAAGGTCATCGAACGCTTTAGTGACTGATTTTTATAGAACTTTCTCCCAGTTTAGCGTCTTAAATTAGAACAGAGAGTGCCTAGTAGCTCTTCGTTTGCGTGATTAGAATATTCTAATTATTGAATCATAAGTTTGGGTTCTGAGGTCATCTGTTTACAATTATTGTGAACCGTATGTTTACATTCAGAACCATGTCACGTTCAAATAAATATTACTGTTTTTTAGTTTTTTATGATTAGTTTTATATTTTTACTAGCATACACTTTTTACATTTGTAATGGTGATGATAAAGCAAAGCAAAAATTTCCATTAACATACAAACTGGATAAAATTTTCTCACATTTATGTCAGCATGAGAAAAAACAATATGGTAATATTATTATATAACAGGGTAATATTTGAGGGGTAGTTTCATCTCGTTGGAATTTGACTTTCGAAAAATCCGTTTGCCAAAAATAAGCTTTTTACGCCAAGCAGTTTAAGCAGAATCGTGGTTAATCAACCCCAACTTTTTGGAACACCCTGTATGATTTTTTTAAAAATTTCAAGATACCTATGTAAAAAAAACAAAATAAATTATGCGGGTCCAAGCGTTTTCCCGAAAGACTAACCGTTTTTAAATAACAAATATTGTAATATTTGTGGGGCATTGTCACCCTCTTGGAATTTGAGATTCGAGAAACCCCTCCTTATCGAACCTCTACACCCCAAAGTCAATCTGTTCGCCAAAAATCAGCTTTAAACGTTTAAGCAGAATCGTGATTACTCAATGGTCATATTTTATGAAACACCCTGTATAATTTTTTAAAAAATCTTAAAATATGTAAAACAATAAAATAAAATATACGGTTTTTAAATAAAAAATATTCTAATATTTGAGGGGTGGTTTCACCCCCTTAGAATTCGAGTTGCGAAAAGTCCCTTTTTATCGAACCTCTACACCCTAAAGTCAATCCGTTTTCCAAAAATCAGCTTTTTACG